GGGGGTTTCTTTTGCTTCTTGCCAACATTCCTCCCCGTTGTGCATACATGTACATCCCGCAGCTCCGTGGAGGAGCATCCAGGCATCTCTCAAACACCGAGACATTCTAACTCGTAGCGCAGTGACTTCGAGAAGTAGCATGAAGGTACGAGTGCAAAGTGATTCGAGGAACAAGAATACATTCTAAAAAGGTCGTAATACCCAGCTATCGTACCCGTCCAGTCGCTATGCAAAAACAACCCCTCATCATGTGTGCAGCAGACCATATCCTACATCACCATCAACCCCGACAAAACCGCACACCCCACCGCTCCCACCACAGACCCAGCCCACCTCCGCGCTCCACTGGTCACATCAACCGCCTCCAATGCCATATTCGGCTGATAAGGATCAGGCTTACTGTTATCAGTCGTCCCATCCCAACAATACTGATCAAAGCAATCCCGACACACACTCGGCACATCCGTCCCCGTCCTATCCAGACTCCGGCTCAGAATAGCACAGCCGACGCAAGTAGGCCATTGGTCGTCGATGCTGCCGTTGCCTTGCGTGGCCATGTTGTACCCGTTCAGCACGATGGCGTTGCGCTCCGTGTCGTTATAGTCGAGGTCGAAGGTCGAGACGTTGGAGTTGTAGACGTAGGGGGCGTTGGGCATGTAGACGATCAAGGGGGATGGGGAGGAGAGGTTCGACGCGTCGCAGCCGAAAAAGGTGGGGCGTTTATTGAGGCCGAGGTTGAAGAAGGTGTCGACGTCTGGGACTGAGGCAAAGTCGGTGCCGTTGCCGATATCTGAGAGGCTTCTTTCATATGTCGCTATGATCGCCGCCCCAGAGGGCCATCCCGGAGCGGAACCATCGACGGGCCAGGAGGCGTTAGTGTCGGCAGAGGAGTCAACGGCGAAGATGACATCCACGTGGCGCAGGGGCTGGATGAGCGGGTGGAACGGGATGTTCTGGAGGTCCTCACCGCCGTCGACGAGAGTGAGTTGTTGGTCGCCTGAGTTGGGGTTGGACTCGTTACGCCAGCCAAAGAAGGGATTAGGGTAGTCGGCGATGTCCTCGTCATCCTCACCAATGGTACGGAGGACAGCGGTAAGGGCGTCTTGGAGTGCGGAGGAGAAAAGGCCGGCGGTCTGCGCGTTGTTGATTGTGGTGAGGAAGCTGTTGAAGAGGGAACTGCTAGTACCCATCACGAAGCCCACGTTGTCGAAACCCGTCACGCACTGGTCGGTGCTCGTCTCTCCCGCGAAGAAGTCAGTGCCGACGTACTGCATTGGTGCGAAGCCGTAGACAGTCGGATCGTTGCTACCAAATTCGAAAGGGGTGAACGTGTAGACGGTCGAATTGTCGGACACGATCTTCTGTCCCGGTGCTCTGCCATCCGCAACGAGTAGTGGCATTGGGGCTGATCCATCGCTGAACCATCCTTGCTCTGCAATTGAAGACCAAGTGTATTCAGGTCCGCCATCCGTAGCGTTGACCAGCTGGAAGCTCAGCGCACGGCCCCAGTAATCAGTGATGGTGACGTTAAAACCAGCACCATCCTTGTTGTCCGTGTCTGATACAAGCGTGGCGTAATATCCGACGCTGTCGAAGAGTTGGATCCCGTCGGAGTCTGGTCCTTCGAAGATGGAATTCTCAAGCTGCCAGATATCTCCCGAGTCGTCGTCGCTCGTGTCCTGCGCCAGGATGTCGTTGACGGAGGTGTAATTGTTGGTGTATATCGAGCCGACAAGCCAGCTGCCGCCTGAAAGACCGGCCAGATAAGTGGTTGACTGCAGCAGACCACCAAGCTGCCCAGCAGAGGTGGAGTTTGGTGTCCGGCTGTCGAATGCTTCTAGCACACCAGCTCCGTTCAACATCGCCCTGTATCCTCCACCCGAAACTGCAATGCCGATGTTCGGTAGATTGCTGACATTGTTCCGATGGTTGTTGATGTATTGGTCCGTATCCAATCCTCTGATATTCAATCTGCCCAACAGATCGCGCATGGGATCTAAGGTAGCTTGTCGTCGACTTCTGAGCCATGATGTCTCTTCGTCGGATAGCGAAGAGGCTAATCGAATGGTCGGCGCGTCGGAAGGGCAGTCATCCTCTTGCGGTGTGTAGCCATGAGGCGCGTTCGCTGGTAAGGCGCGTCCTACTAATGAGTTGCCTTGAAGTGCGGGTATCTTGTGTGGTGGTACTGCTCGATCACTGCTTAGCTGAGAATCGGTGCCGGTCGACCCCGTAGGTGCGTACCTGTGCCAGCATTCGTTATGCCCGCCGTTAGAAGGCCTGCCGTGAAGAGGAAGGGCAGCATGTTGATTATGGAGATGGTATAATGCGGAAGAATGAGAGTGCAGAAAAGAGGATTAAAAGAACCTACATCTGCCTTCACACAGGCAAACACAGAGTGGGTGTCCCAGATTCCGCGCGGAGCCTCAATAACCTGTTGCGTTGTGACAGTCCGCGGACCGGGCCAAGGCTTGTGAGATGAACAGTGGCATCGCTGCTTGCTGGTGACGTGACAAAAGTGGCTTGGGGGCCGCAGCTCGGCTCGTGGCTGGCGATCCTTCTGCGAGGTCGTTACGCTTTCGCGATCTTGTTATATTAATAACGGACGGTGTACATGTTCAACGATGTCCTTCGGAAAGCAGATAGTCTCGCGCTGCAGTGGTGACTGGACCTCAGCTTTCGATGGCATTGCATTCTCACCGGATTCATGGCCACGCGTGCTCCTATCACCTGTACCACGTCTTCCCGCTGGCATCCGAGACGTCGCCACTGTATCTCCACGCTTGGCAGGCTTTTGCAGTGCAGGAGCGGCGTATCACAGATGTCGCGCGGAGGTCGGTGATATGCAATCCGTATGCGCCGTATACAGTACTTCGTCAGAGATGCCGTCTTCGCGTATACCAACGGAGTATGTTCCTGGACAAGGTGAGGTCTGAATCGAGAAGTGAAGTGAATGTAATGTCGTCGGAATGACGATCGTTGATGCCGAGGGAAGGAGCGATCAACAGGCGAAGCTCCTAGACCTCACCTCTGCAGCACCCCCAACACCCTAATGTAAAAACATCTTGGGCCTCCATAAGACCTCTACGCCTGCAATCACAACAGCAACACAAGTAGCACCATGCTACGACCATTCGCCCAACGACACCTCCTCCCCCGCGCCTCTTCCCTCGCCCGCCAGACACGAACACCAACCCGTCACCTACAAAGCTCGAGCAGATGTCTGACAGAAGACAAGAGTGATCCGGCATTCTCGCCGCAGGAGACGAGGCCAGAGGAGCAGAACGAGCGCGCCGCAGAGGCGACGAAGAAAGACACCGTACGTTTACCGCATACTGCTTAGATATACGGACGAGCCTGCAGAGAAAAGTGAGATGGGAAGGCAGTTTGGTTGAATGCATTGGCTAATATGCTATGTATCTTTCCAGGGTATCAACGCCACCGACAATGTCACCCCTGCGAACCAGAAAACCAACAGGCCGAGAGATCCGATGGAGGGTGGAAGCCAGGGCTCGCAGCCTGAGGAGGGCGGCGGTGGGATTCAGAGGTCAGGGCAGAGCGGTGGCGGGAGTCCGAAGAAGTCGGGTGGTGGGAAGTCGGGGTGATAGGTGCGATGTTGTCGAACTGAAGCGGAGCGCAAGACTGGAGGTGTGTGTACATGTCCATTTTATCGACAAGGTATGCAAGTTTTGCTGAGCGAACATGGTCCCTTCAATGTCGTTGAAGAGCAAGGTGACTTGACGTATACATGCTCATTGGTGACCTGGGCCTGGATTCGCAGAAGCATTTCTGTCCTGACAGCGAAAGCCTGTTAGTCGAATTGCTCCCACTCAGACGTCCGCCAGCTCTCAACAGATCGCATTTCGACCTACCCCTCGATGAGGGTTTGTGCAAGCTTGTGACCAAACAATAGCTTCACGGGCTCGGAGTATTCGTAGACTTCTTGCTTGGACTGCTTGGCTGTGCTGGAGAAAACATAGTTGCCGTTGGAGAGGTCAGAAGAAGTCCGTCCGGGATGGCGGCCAACAACAGACATGAAAAGCTCAAAGCAATGAGCTGAAAAGCCACGCCTGGCCATGCACGCATTGCAGGAACACCACGCTGGGAGGCATGGCTCCGGAGCATCAAGCGTGGGCTTGGCGATCTTCGTTATGCTTAGTGCCCGATGGAGCAGAGAGTATTCAGACTTCTGCTGAACAGCGTTGTGGAGGGCTCGGCAAAACGCACTCAGGATCGCGGCGCCATGCTTGGTCGCCTCCTGATTTGATGCATCCTTCTTTGAGCCTGCCGCACTTCCTCGAAGAGCAAGGGGTGGCGGCTCAAGATAAAGTGTTGAGATCAGACCAGGCTGCAGTCTGGTCCAGGCTGCATTCCAGCTCTCGCGGAAAAGCTCCATATCCTCTTGCCAGCTGGGTCAGCAATAGCCACAGAATGTCACTGGCAGTACTCACTGGAAAGCTCAGTGCTGACGAGATCGACCAGCATGGTGTCTTTGATTCGTTCTTCGACAGTCGATGTGTTGGTCTTCTTTCCGGTGGTGAGAGCAATTCCCATCACGACTGTGCCCTCGAACTTGGGCTGGCCAAATGCTACTGCTATTCCGAGATACTCAGGAAGCTCCTTCGCCGTACCTTCGCCGCGAAGGTGGTCCTCCAGCCAGTGGCCGGACACGTGACGAAAGGCGTTCTGGCACTGGTATTTGTCGACCAATCTGGAAGTGGCGGCCAACTCTGGGAGGGTAACAGTGTCGTGGTCAGTCGTGTAGTGGAGTACGCCGAAGAGGATTGCTAGGCCGGTCTATTGCAAGCATGAAGTCATCGCTCTGCCGATGGGCATCCCTGAGCGAGAATGCGGCAACACTTACAGCATCATCATCCGGCAGAGGGATTTCGAGCGGCTCGTCAGAAGACTGTGCCAGCTCGTTGCCTTCACGGAACTTTGGTCCAAGGAGAGCGGCGAAGACGGGCGATGCAAGACTGAGCACCTTGGAGCTGACCCAGAAGCCCACTTCCGCACCGCTTGTGTCGACTTTGCCTTCGAAGTCCGTGATGTGGTAGTGGACGATGAAACAAACGTCGCCGTCCCGGTCGCTGAGGACGGACTCCACCGTGAGCGGGTTACAAGGCGCCTGGTGCGCAGTCAGGCTGGGTGAAGCGTGGGCAATGTAGTGAAGGTAACCTTGAAGGTCTGAAGTCAGGTCAGAGACGTCAAATAGGAAAGGCTTGGCACTACCTGTCCTTCAAAAGGTGATCAATTTGTATGAAGTGAAGCCAGGCTGAAGGCGATGAAGTTCCTCTTACAAAGTCATGTTCTCTCTGATCATGCTTTCCTCCAAATCTGCCATCCATGCGGACTCCAGGAAATGGAGATGTCCAAGCGCAATGTTCCCTGCCTCAATAACGCCCTTCTAGACTTAGCCGTTGCCGCACGTAACAACTTGCCTAGTCTTTCAATCCGACTCTTCGTCACTCGTGTCAAGGTCTATTTCAGGGTCAAGCTGAAACTGGTTGCACACAAAATCCGACAGCTTTTCCATGTCTTCTAAGGTGTGCGGAAGCTTTTCACCAAAGAGCAGACTCATGGTGTCAGAGTATCCGCAGCCACAAGCCTTCAGTGCACGCCGGTCAGACAAATCGTCCGCCTCCATTGCACGATGACGCCCTATCGTTGGCTTGAAGAAGTCCAGGAACATTGCGGGCATATCGTCATCCAACCAGTCACAAGCTGTGCAGAGGATCTTGTGGCTGTGGTCCGTGAACCTCTGATCGTAGTCGTCGTATTTCGGATGCTGGTGAAGCTTTGCTGCAAGGTCGTTGAGTCTCGTAGCATGGTAGAGCAGTGGATAAGGATCGTTCTCAGTTCCGGTCACGCGGAAGTTGCTGATGCACTGGTAGAAATGTGGGACGAGGAGCCTGTCGTGCAAGCAAGGGTCTAAGTTGCAATGCTGAACTAGAGGAGATTCGGGTCGACGTCCCAGCGGTTTGGACCCATATTTGGCTGCCTGACGATCTTTCATAGTCATGGGTTCGACTAGCTTCATGAGCTCATGCGTCCAGACAGTGCTGAGGTATTCCCGATAGTCATCGATCCTCTCTAGCAGGACAGTCAGGAAGCGTAAAATGGTGCACGAGGCTGAACTCACCACAATGCCCATAGGGAACCAAGTCCGCACATTCCGTGTTGCGAATACTACTTGCAGCACAGCTTGCATTACCATAGGCGCTCGCAAGGAAGCCAGTGATGGTAGCCATGCCGAATGCAATGATCGCCTGAACTGCTGGCAGTCGGAAGCCAAAGGCAATGCCCAGGTACTCCGGAAGAGTTTTCGAAGTGCCGCTGCCACGCAGATGCTGATACAGCCAGCGAAGCGAGTGTGCGTGAAAGACTTCCTGCATCTGATACTTGTCCACCAGTCTCGCGGTAGCTGCCAATATTGGAAGAGGTAGGTTATCGGTGCCAGCTTTGTGGTGCAACACCTTGAACACGACATCCAAACCCTTCGCATCATCATCCGGAAGTTCGATGTGAATCGGCAGAGAAGCAGCTTGCGCCAATGTCTGACCTTCATGGAAGTTGGGCCCAAGCAGTACAGCGAAAGGGCGGGAAGCAAGACAGACCACTTTCGAGCTCACTAGAAAGCTGATCTGTGGGTCCGGTGTTGCTCCTCTTGCGACGAAGCAGACGTCACCCTGCGGGTGGACGACGATGTTCTCCATGTTGCAAATGGTCGGGCACGCCTTTCGCTGAACCTTGAGACCATGAAGGATACTTAAGCAAGTGTTATTGGCAAAGGGCGAAGAGGTGTTGATGGAAAGAGAGCTTTCCGCTACACGACAAAGGAAGCAAGCAAACCACAGCCTTTGGCGCCTGAGACTCACTTTTTTCCCATCCTACCAGATACCCTATCTCAAACAATCCAGGAGACCTACCGAACATACCAAGGGGCTAGAAGTGTCTTCCTACAAGCACGGCTTGCGTCACGCGGCGTGCCAGGGCTAGATTGGGTCGTCGTCGGCTTTGGCTCCATGCGCCTTTCCACGAGAGAGCGGCATACAGCAGTAGCCACGGCGGTTGCCCATATCCCGGCCTGGCACCCAATGAGATGCTAATACAGTTGGAAGGCGTCGGAGCGCTGCAGAGGGGGTACGTGTCCAGCGTCCAGGAATATGGCCACAACTGCTTGCCAGCTCGAAGACACCAAACATCTAGGGACGTGTGATTTCGCCCAGACGGTATGCGCTGCGTTCCTGAGACAAGCTGGTTGTTAATGCTCATGTCGAGGCCAAGATTGATATGGAGCCGTATATGGATGGAAAAAGAAGGAGGTCAGCAGACGTCGAAGTCCAGATGAATGCCAAGACCAGCCACTAGCCTCGTCCATGACGCGAGTGAACTCAGGCGCTGATGCTGAAACCTCTTTTCCAATCCACCCAAACCTATGCGCATTTTCAACAGACCCACTGGAAAGCATATGCCATCGCAAGATTCCAGAAAATCAAGCAACTTCCATGTCCGACTGCATCCTGCGATTATGATACCACCCGGAACACACGGTCCACAAAGCGCATATCTCGAAGATGGATGATGCGCGCACAAAACTTGAGGCAGAATACTGTCAGTACTTGGATTCTGCGCTCGTCTCTGCCATATGTTCGGACTACGAATTGAGTGACTCGACAGGCGTCGCAGGCGCGAGGGAGATACTCGAGTCGCTCAAGGCGAGCGCATCCCTAGAAGAAGCTGCGGACTTTGACCCATCTGGAACCGGCGCAGGCGAACATGAACGTGGAAACGAGCACAATGGCGAATCACCGCCAGGAACCAGCGGCTCTGCTTCACGAGAAACCGAAGCGACCAGTCTGTCCAACGGGCTATCATCTTTAGGACTCGACGATTACTCCTCAGACACTGAGCCATCCACGCTCTTCGGCCAGCCTGAAGATTTCGAGGCGCTTGACGAGGATGGAAAAGTTCAGATCTTGCAGAGCATTGTCGGAGACGGGGTGAATCAGTACAGCATTCGCCACGCGCTGCGAAAGTGTAAAGGCGACTGGGACAGCGCGATCAACGACCTACTCACGCAAGCATTCCTAGCCAACGATGAGAACACCAAAGATGGTTCTGCTGTCAATGCCAAGGGCGTCGAAGGCTTCTACCAGGAGAACAATTTCAGCCGAGGTCGCAAAGGCAGATCAAAAGGCAAGCGGCAGGCTGCACAAGGCAGCAGAAGGTCGAGCTCAGTCCCTGGACTCGGAGATGCATCTCCTTCACCAGCATCTAACAAGTGGACTTCGGCGACTGAAGACATCGACTTCATAGCAGTAAGGACCGGCATTCCAGTGGCGACTGTGTCTTCGACGTACTACTCGTGCGGAGCATCTGTCTCGCGCACAATCGGAGCTTTGCTCAAGGCATCAATGGAGGAGAGCAAGTATGCAGCAGTCGACGATGACACTACTGCTATCCGCGCAGACGAGCTAGGTCGAGACTTTCCCTCTATCTCCTATGAATACAGAACCACGCTCATACGGGTCACTCACCCCTCGACTTCATCCGCGCACGAACTTGCCAAAGCTCTGACTGCTAAGCCCAAGTCCAGCAATGGCGGCGGCCTCCAAATCCTGACTCAGTACGCCCCGCCTGCTGGTGTGGCCTCGAGCAACGATTGGAGCGCTGTCTCTAGGAAGGCAAAATCCGCCAACGCCTCACGCTCGCCTTCAATAGATGGACCGACAGCTACCGCACAACGCGATGCTTACACAGCTGCTCGGGCTGAAGCATTAGCCAAAGCGAGCGCTGCTCACCGCAAGGGCAAGTCTGATCGCTTGATGGGAGGCGCAGCCGGATACTACAGCCAAGTTGGACGCGATCTCGCCAAACTGGCATCCAGTGCAAACGCGCAGGCGGCCGATCAGCTCGCTGCTTCCCAGTCAACCTCGACTCAGCTCGATCTGCACGGCGTCGACGTCGTCAACGCTGTACGAATCGCGCATGAGAAAGTCGAGCAATGGTGGGATGGGCTGGGCGAGAGTCGGATCAACGGCCGTGTCGGTGCGGACCAGCGGCAGGGTGGCTATAGTATTGTCGTCGGCCTGGGCAAGCATAGCGAGGGTGGGAAGGGCAAACTAGGGCCTGCGGTGACGAAGAGTTTGAAGGAAGACGGTTGGAGGGTTGAGGCCGTCGGGGCCGTCGTTGTCGTGAAGGGTCCAGTGAAGAGATGACGGCGGTGACTTCTCACGACGAGCCTTCGTCTTTCGGACTCGCATTCTGGCTCCGTCGCGCGATCTTGCTTGTCTGAGCCGAAGGTGCGGCTAGAAATTCTCAGGTGCCGGAAATCGAGCAGTTGCAGGCTTGCCTACGTATACGCGGACAAGGAAGCTGAGGAATTTCATGCGGGCGCAACAGAGGCTGAATCCTTCGCCGTACAAGATTCCACATTGAGCGGCCGCATTTGGGGCTGTTAGACGTCTGCGGTTTCTGCTGACGACAGAACGTCCCCACTATCAAGCAACACATAATCAACTGGTCGCCTAACCGGACCTTACTCTTTAAATTTCTTCACCACAACGCTCTGAAGTGTCAATTCACACCGAAGCACACGGCACATTACCAAACATCGATCGGCTTACTACGCAAGATGGACTCAGTGGGCGAAGATGCATATGTGAAATGGATGGCACGAGATCCTGCGGAAACCGAAAGGTACACACTATGGCGACCGAAGCATTAGACAGAAGCTCACAGATGTTCAGGCTCAACTCCCAGCATGAGTTCTTGAAGAAGACCATTGGACACCTCCTGCATCCGACCATACAATCCTCCATGCCCGCCGAGCCCCGCATCGCCGACATAGCAACAGGTACCTGCATCACGCTGCGAGATCTTGCATCGACCTTCCCACCCACCTGTCGCTTCGATGGTTTCGACATCTCCTCTGCTCAGTACCCGCCAGCAGCCGACTTACCATCCAACATCAAGCTCCACGTCGCGGACGCCAAAGCTGGTTTGCCTACCGAGTTCCATTCCCAGTACGACGTGGTCAACATCCGCTACCTGATCGCAGCAATGCACGAAGACGACTGGCCTGTTGTGTCGCAGAACATGCTCAAGCTACTCAAACCAGGCGGCTGGCTCCAATGGATCGAACCAGATCTCGGATCCGCCTTCACCGCCCTTCGAGGCGACATCAATATCCCTACCTCCAGCGCCGTCGAAGAAGCGGCAGACGCCATTGGCCCCGCGGTCCGGCAGCAGAAGTACAGCTTCTTCACCACCGAGCTGGCAAACATCATGCAGGCTGAGGGTTACGAGAGCGTGACGCACGAAGTCGTGAGTACCGACCGGCTACCCGAGCTGCGAGCGGCGGGGTGGAACACTATGCGAAGGCCTTACCAGCAGTTCTGGGAGGGTGTGGAGGCGGCGAAGGGTGAGAAGGGCAAGTCGAAGGAGTATGTTGCAAAGAGGATAGGAGAGATTGCAGAGGTGGCGAAGGCTGGAGCTGTATACTTCAGGTCTAATATCCATGTCTTTCTAGCGCGGAAGTCGATGGAGTAGTCGCATCATGAGTTTCCCGTTACAAGTGTCGTTTCCCTCGATCTCACATACTGCGGTCGGCGTGAATGCTCTTGAAAGTCGGGTTTCTTGAGTCGGTGGTGCGGTAGCGAGGTGTGTGTCTCTGTACAAGCGATGGTGCAATACCGGTAGCCAGTACTGCAACGTGGCCAAGCTGCACCAACAGGTGATTCGTAACAAGAGTGTAAAGAAAATTTGTAGAGAGAAGAAGCTGAGTTTGTAATGCGGGTGATTTGTTCTACGCTACCACACGTCTGGAACTCATGCACGCGGTTCAAGCCATGATCGTAAAAGCCATGAACGTGGTGTGCACGAGTAAAAGCCAGTCTCCCTTCCCATATCTTACACCCATCAGCGGCATCAGCAATATTAGCATTAGTATGCATGCATGCAAGCAAGCAAGAAAGCAGCCCATTAACGCCCTTGAACTCCGATCCCACTCGTACTCGTAGCATACCGTCGCATACCGTCTTGAAGCAATCTTGGATGCAGCTGGCACTCATCATGAAGACGTCGTAGAAGAATGCATTTCGCACCCATCTTGAAGCCATCTCAGAACGCATGTCGAACCCATCTTGTACTCATCTCATACCCATCTCGTACCATCTTGAAGTCATCTTGAACGCACCATTCACCTCCCACCACCCCTGACGACGCTGTCCTCATACTCGCGCTTCTTCCTCTGCACAATCTCGAACAAGTCCAGGGCAGACGGACGAGTCTTGTGATCCTCCATCATCGCGCGGCTCACGACGTCGTTCAGCTGCACGCTGTAGATGCCCCCACACGGACGGCCTTCCTTGACGAACTCTTGCTGCGGGAGTTGAGTGCGACGACACATGACCTGGATGAGCCCACCAAGCTGCCAGACGTCGGTGGGCTTGCCGAAGATGCCGACATAGCCTTTCGCGTCGTCGTAGGTGATCTCCGGTGGGGTCCAGCCCGCGGTGGCGCCGGGCATGCATTCCGTGGTGGTGCGCTTGGTCTGAATGTCGACGAGCGTAACGGCACAGCCGAAGTCTCCGAGGACGATGCGATGGTTGCCGTACTCGTTACCTGGGTACATCTTGCTGGTCACAAACAGGTTGGCCGGCTTGATGTCGAGATGGCAGATGGTGTTCCATGGATTGAGCTTGTACTTCGGTGCGTGTGCGTTGCGGATTCCGTAGTGGCAGAAGCAGAGGGCTTTGAGCACACTCTCGAGGACGTCCCACATGAAAAACTCCTCGAGGAACATGCCTTTGGCGTTCATACGCTGGATCTCCTGCTCAAGGGTCCCAATGTCGCAATGCTCTAACAGGATCGTGCACGAGCGAGATCCTTCGGCCCAGAACTCGTCGATGATGGTGTTGATGTGAGGAGATCCGCCAGCGTCACGGATCTGCTTCAGAGCTGCGATCTCGATCTTTACACGGGTGAAGGCCTTGTCGCTGCCCGCCATCAGATTCTTCTCAACAACGAAGAATTTGCGGTTTGGGTTGATCCGCTGCAGAACGCGAACCCCGTTGCTCATGCGCTTTGGGTCGTTAGTGCCTTGTTGGAGAGTCTCTTTGACCACATAAACTTCGCAGCCGTAGATGATCTGCTCGCCCGGTACGGTGTTGTGATCCTCCTCTCTGAAAACCATGCGCGGCTCAGCAAACTCGACGGGAGCTTCGGACGCATCGGAATATGAAGGGAGTGGCATGATCTTGTTGATCCATGCTGCTTCAGCATCAAACGCCGCGTGTCCCGTAAGATGATCAAAGTTCGGGACTTGGATCTTGGGCTTCTGATTGTTCGGCTGTTGCTTGGGTGGCTCGTGGCCGCGAGGTACGAACATGGGAGAGCCTGCAGGGCCAACGTGAAGCCGACCAGCCTTGTGCATCGGCTCGACTTTGTTCGCTGGCTTTGCGTTTCCATTCCTCGGATTGTGTTGCTCATTCATGTGGTGGTGTTGCTCGTTCATCGGGTAGTGTTGCTGTGGGTTGGGCCCGTACACTGTCTCTGGTCAGTGGCAATCGAAAGCGGCAAGAGAAAATATTGGCCTCACTCTGACCCTGCTGCATGTCGTATCCGCCATAGGCGTTCATCATCGGAGGTTCGCCGCAGTGGTCGCCTTGGTCGTGGAAGTACTGCTGCTGCTGTGGCATGTAATACTGCTGCTGTTGCGGTGGCATCGGCGGGTAGTACTGTTGGTGCGCCATTCCTAGGCTGCGTTAGGATTGCTGCTGTCAAGGTTAAGGCTTACCGGTCTCGTCTGCTCGGACGAACGAGCGAGCTCCTTCAGCGCCCGCCGACTTTGCTCGACCTGAAGTCGAACCTGAAGCTGAAGCTGTAGCTGAACCCGAAGCTGAACCCTCACTTGCGCGCTGCCCTTCACCAAGTCTGTCCACCTGTCCACCTGTCCTCCTGTCCTCCTGTCCTCCTGCCCGCTGCCTGCTGCCCGCCTTCCCACAAATTCGCACTATCACGCAACGATTGGACTTACTTTGAAAAGTTGAAGCCACTGAGGCTTCGCTGAGTCGTGCTGTTCGGTGTTCACGCTCACTGGCGAAGAGTGACGGTGGTGCGGAGGTCGTGCTGCTGAAAGATGTCAAGTAGTGCGGTGCTCTTGAAGAGATGCTGGAAAGAGAAGACCCAAACTCCCGAAGCAAGTGTGGGTGGTTGAGGCTGTTCGGAAGAGAGAGGTTGGAAGAGGTGGTGGAAAGGTTTTATAGGCGGCAGCAGCTCAATATTGGCCGAGTGCGCGGTCCAAGCTTTTCACAATAGCGACAATTGCAACAAATGAAGTGAGGATGAAGATATGCCCAGTGAAGCTCTTGTTGAGAGAGCTTGGACATCCAACGTACGATATGAGGAAGGAGGGTGATGGTATATAGGCATTCGCGGGTGCTCTTTTGAATGGGAAACAATAGGAATATGGAATATGTACCCACGCTCTAACAATGGCAGCAGGCCCGTCAATGCCATGGGCTTCTATCTGATTCACTTCACGGCTTCACGCTGCTTCTTCACATGTTCGGTCGGCATCCCGAGCCACGTGGCATTGCGTCATCACATGAGCATTTTCCAAACCACCAGGAAATCACCTTCAATGAGCTGAATGCACATGATACTCAAAAAGCTGTATTGCCAGTATCTCCATCTGCGCAGTGGGAGAGGAGGATGAAGGGGGCGGAGAGAATGAAGAGATGAAGTCGCGCGAAACAAGCTCTTGATACTTGGCACCGCGAAAAAGCAGACTAACCGCTTCGGGACGGCCTCGCCTTACCTCCAACCTTTGAAGTCGCCTTTTCCAGCTGCCACAACCACCACCTCTCTCTCCGACATCAACCCCCAGCTTGCCTCATCCGTCGAGCTGTGCATCTGCTTCGACAAGCCCTTCTTTAGTAATACCAGCGAGAGCCATCGTGTGTTGGCGCGCCGCGCGATTGCCTTGCGTATAAACCCCCGAACTTCCACTTCCGAACCTCAGAAACACCGAACATATGGCTGTGAGTGTGGCATGTGATACCGCGGTCTACTATCATACTGACCAAAAATGCAGCAACCACCCTCTCAGCCGCGCTCGTACTCGCAAGCCTTCCTCCCCAACGGCGCTCCACCAGTCAGCGGTCCTGTCCCAGGAGCTCGTCCACTCGACCCGAACCAAGGTCGCGTGCAGCAGATTGGCCACGCCAGAGTACTGTGTATAGCAGATGTGAGAGGTATGAAGAGCATGCAGAGCTTGTTATATCATGTCTAGGACTGACGAAGCATTCAGGCAACCTTCGTCAACTCAACGAGCTTGCCCGCAACGCGAAAGCCGAGTACATCCTTCACACCGGTGACTTTGGCTTCTACGACCATGCTTCGATAGAGCGCATCGCTGAGAAGTACGCTTCGTTCGCTCCGGGCACGTGATGATACATGTGCTAACATTCAGATTAGGACACTGAAGCACGTCACGCAGTATTCACCACTTCTCAGCGAGCAGCTCAAAGCAGACCTTGCACGCTCAAACCAGCCAATCAAAGAGCGCTTCCAGCGTGAAAACCTCCCACTCTCAGAGCTCCCGCAGTTCCTCGACAAGACCTTCAAGCTCGATGTGCCCGTCTACACCGTGTGGGGCGCGTGCGAAGATGTGTCGGTGCTGGAGAAGCTGCGATCAGGGGAGTACAAGATCGACAACCTCAACATCATCGACGAGTCTCACTCCCGGTTACTCGACATCGGAGGTGTGAAGTTAAGATTGCTCGGGCTAGGTGGAGCAGTCGTCATGCACAAGATGTTCGACAACGGTGAAGGACGCACAACCATCGCAGGAGGACAGGGCACGATGTGGACCACGCTTTTGCAGATTGGCGAGCTCGTGGACACGGCCAATCGCGTCTACGACCCAACCGAGACCCGTCTTCTGATCACGCATTCATCACCCGCGAGAGAAGGCATTCTCAACCAGCTTGCTGTCGCCCTCAAAGTCGACTTCTCCATCTCCGCTGGCCTGCACTTCCGGTATGGCAGCTCGTATAACGAGTTCTCTGTCAACCCATCGCTCGACCACTACCGCGGCAAGCTTTCTGCATCGAAGGCACAGTTCAACGATGTATGGGAGACGGTGAAGCACGAAGTCGAGCCAGCCGTCGCGGAGAACGATGCTCAGAATAAGCTTCTGCAGCATGCACTGGAGCTGGTGAAGAAGATGCCTTCGACCGCCAGTGGTGGCAACCCCTTCGGAGGTGGTCCACCCAACGGTCAAATCGATGAGTCTGCATTCAAGAATATGTGGAACTTCAACCTTGCCGATGCTGCGTTCGGATGGCTCGTACTCGACATCGACCAAGGCCGAATCGGCACGGAGATGAGAGCGCAGGGTTTCAACTTTGCGCACCGTGGTGGCAAAGGTGCGCAGCGGCCACAAGCCATGCCGTCAGCACCCTCCAACTCTACGATGGCACCAACGGGTGGCAATCTACCGACCCCAGGACAGCAGCCACCTCAGGCCGCACAGCAGCAGGTCAATCGGCCTCCACAGGGACCTGCAGCTGCCCCACAGCCTCCAACGCAGCCCCGCGCTCAGCAGCCTGTAGGTCAAGCGCCGCCTCAGCAGCAGAAGCCAGCTCCACCGCAGCAAGCACCTGCACAGGCTGCACCGAAGGCCACTACACCACAGCCATCCGCCGCCCTTACCACCAATGGTACCACAGCACCCACCGCGACACTTCCGCAGACGAACGGGACGGGCACACCAGCGGCGGACGCTTCGAAGTCGGACTCGCCTGCGCAAGCAAAGAACAACATCCAGCAATCGCCTGGTGCCCAGGAACCATCGAAAGGCATCTTCATCAGCGGGACAAACGGCATCAACACCGAAGATGAGATCAAGAGCGTCTTCTCATCCGAGGATGCTGCAAAGATCTCGCGCACGGAGAGGCAGAGGGCGGGTCCGTGGGTCGTCTTCTTCGACACCAACGAGGTCATGCAGGAAGTCCTGAGCCACGGTGCGACAGCTGAAGCACGTGAGAAGCAGAAGAGCATGCGCATGAACGTGTATCGTTCTCGTGGCGGCTTTGCTGGGTGGGGCAGCTCTCGCGGAGGCGCTCCGTCTCGTGGCGGTGCAGACGCTGCTCGGGTCGGGTACCAATCTGCTGGTGGAGGCACGACTGGTAGCGACAGCGAGACGAACCGTGGAGGTCGCGGAGGACGCGGCACTCGAGGCGGATTCCGAGGCGATCGTGGTGGCCGTGGCCGTGGACGTGGTGGCGAGAGAGGCGGAAAAGCAGACGGCGCGCCTGCATCGACTGCTGCTCCAGCTACGACCGGCGGCGGCGAATCTTAGAGGGATATCGGTTCCGACTGGCGTAGTCCTGGCGGCAAGAAGTCCGAGCAGACGAACGGGAAGAAGGAAGAGAAGACGGGTGGAAAACTGCACGATGGCACTGCCGCTTGAAACCTGAAGCACCAGACGACGGGAGCTTCCAGCGACATCTTCAACTCACCAGGGTCGATGCGAACTCGACGACATCGACAAGCAAGCGCAAATCGAATCATCGAAAACACCACCTACCACTTTCATTGCACTTCAGGACTCGAAGGCGCAGGCATGGAGCGTTGCTTTTTCTCTCTGGCCGAGGCGAGTCGCAAGCGGTTGCTTCTTGCTTTGTGGTGGATATACCAATGCTAGCTGTGCGTGTGCTTTCCAACAAGTGTGTTTAACTAGATGGGCGAAGATGAGGACGGACATGGGCTGCATCTTCTGTGTGTAATCATATGGTAGTCTAGCAGATGCTCTGGCCTGGACGTCGATGGATGTCTGGGTGGAGTGTTGAATGGAAATTAGGAAGTGTGCTTGCCCTCGGTGTGTTTGTGTACCAGTGTTAATGTTCGTGGTCCAAGTACATGTAGGTGGTGTCTGTTCACTTTCGGCGGTTGATCCCGAAAGCTTGAGCCTCAGGAACGGCAGGCGCGTGGTGACGTCTAGCCAACAACACCTCGAGCTGCATGACCAGGATCAGCATCCCACTGGTGCCTGCCCTCTCTCTTCTCTTGGATCTCTCTTCTATCATCTGGACGTCTCCATCACCTCGAACACCATCTCAACATCATCAGATCAGGCACGCGACACGATCGAGGCTGCGATCTGCCGAGTTGGACAACAGCGCCTAGCTTGCGCTCGACTACGAGCAGGCGGCGGCAGCGATGAAGACGCCCACACGACCAGCATGGCTGGCGCTCTTCAGCCTGGCATCGACCACACTGGCCGCATCGGACAGCAACCCGCGCAACCTCACCAACATCCATGAAGCCGGTCGATGCGCCATGCGCGGCCAATGCGGCAAACAGTCCTTCTTCGGTGGCGAGCTACCGTGCGCCGACAACGGTCTGGCTGAATCCCCAGACGACGACCTGCGCGACCTATTGGTCGATGTCTGCGGCGAGGAATGGAAGGACACAGATGTGTGCTGTCAAGAAGAGCAAGTCGAAGCGCTGAAGAGCAACTTCGGGACCGTGAATGGTATACTAGGCTCCTGTCCGGCGTGCACGAAGAACTTCTTCAACTTGTTCTGCACGTTCACTTGCTCGCCGGATCAGAGCTTGTTCGTCAATGTCACGGATACGGCGGAGAAGAACGACAGGATTCAGGTTACGGAGCTGGATCAGTTGATCAGTGAGGAGTATGGGTCGGGCTTCTATGATAGCTGCAAGGATGTGCAGAACGGTGCTGCGGGTGGGAAGGCGATGCTGTTTTTTGGGAACTCGAAAAATTACACGCAGTTATTGCACTTTCTTGGGCAGAAGAGGACGATTGGCGGCAGTCCGTTCCAGATCAACTTCCCGAGGCCGGAGGATCATGACTTCGAGGATATGGAGCCCATACTGTACGATCCCAAAGCGTGCAATACGTCTGATCCGGATTATCGATGTGCCTGCGTGGACTGCGAGAGCAGCTGCACAGCTCTGCCGGAGATCGAGAGCGAGGAAGAGTGCTATGTCGGACTGCTGCCATGCTTGAGCTTTGGCGTGGTGATCGTGTACTCGTGCATCATCACGCTCTTCGTGCTGGCTGTGTCGGGACATGTCGCCGCAGCCAAGCGGCGCAAGAGCAGGAACGAGAGGCTGCAGCTGCTGCAAGATGCACATCCCGAGGACGATGACGATGACCGTGATGTTCTGCACGGAACTGGAGGCACGCTGGATCGGCCGAACAAGCAATATATCATCAACACGTACTGCGACCGGGCTTTCAGTGCGCTAGGACGGACATGCGCCAACTTCCCTGCCATCACCATTGTCTCCTCGATCATCGTCGTCGGCTTGCTCAGTCTCGGCTGGATGCGATTTGAAGTCGAACAGGACCCAGTGAAGCTATGGGTTGCGCCTGACAGCGACGCTGCGAAGGAGAAGATCTTCTTCGACACGAACTTTGGTCCCTTCTTCCGCGCCGAGCAGGCTTTTCTGGTCAACGATACGCAGTCGGAAGGACCAGGTCCGGTATTGAACTATGACACGCTCAACTGGTGGTTTGACGTCGAACGCAGAGTTCAGGTGCTGAAGAGCGAGAGCGGATACACATTCGATGATGTATGCTACAAGCCACTCGATGACAACTGTGTCGTGCAGAGCATTACCCAGTACGGCCCCTTTGCCAGCAATGGCCTGGACAAAGATACCTGGGAAAGCGACCTCCAGAAGTGTGCGGACTTCTATGGCGACCAAGAGTGCCTGCCACCGTTCATGCAACCTCTTCCCATCGAACGGTTACTCGGCGGCTACAACACCAGCACCGAGCCTGTCACGAACGCCTCGGCGTTGATTGTCACTTGGGTCGTCAAGAACTACAATGTCGGCGAACCACAGTTGGAGAAGGCAGAAGAGTGGGAGAACAGCCTTAAGCGCCTTTTACTGGATGTGCAAAGCGAAGCTCACGAGCGTGGCCTCCGACTGAGCTTCAACACGGAGATCTCGCTGGAGCAGGAGCTGAACAAGACCGCCAACACTGACGCGAAGATCGTGGTCATCAGCTACATTGTCATGTTCATCTACGCTTCGCTCGCGCTCGGCAGCACTACCGTCACTGCGAGCATGATCCTCCGCAACCCTGTCGCTGCGCTGGTGCAGAGCAAGTTCCTGCTGGGCATTGTCGGCATCTTGATCGTGCTCATGAGTGTTGCTGCATCCGTGGGCTTGTTCGCTGCAGCTGGCGTGAAGGCTACTCTGATCATCGCCGAGGTCATCCCGTTCTTGGTGCTGGCGGTCGGTGTGGACAACATCTTCCTCATCGTGCACGAGTTCGAGCGCGTCAATATCAGCCACGCGGACGAGAGTGTACCGGATCGCGTCGCAAGAGCGCTTGGCCGCATGGGCCCGAGTATCTTGCTCTCTGCCAGCACTGAGACTGTGGCTTTTGCGCTCGGTGCTGCGGTTGGTATGCCGGCAGTGCGCAACTTCGCGGCGTATGCGGCAGGCGCTGTGTTCATCAATGCGCTGCTGCAAGTCACAATGTTCGTCTCGGTGCTCGCGCTGAACCAGGAGCGTGTGGAGGCTGGCCGAGCCGATTGCTTCCCGTGCGTCAAGCTGCAGGGTGGTATGGACTCGAGCATGCCGAATGGGTATGGCGGAGCGCCATTCAGTGGTGTTGAAGAGGAAGGCTTCTTGAGCAGGTTCATTCGAAAGCACTATGCTCCAGCTCTGCTTGGTAACAAGACAAGAGTTGGCATCATTATGGTGTTCCTAGGCTTCTTCGCCGCTGGCATCGCTCTTCTGCCGGATGTACAGCTGGGGCTGGACCAGAGGATCGCGATTCCGAGCGACAGCTACCTGATCAAGTACTTCGACGATCTCTACGACTACTTTGGAGCTGGACCGCCTGTCTACTTCGTAACGAGGGATGTCAACGCGACTCAGAAACCGGCTCAGCGTGAGCTGTGCGCCAAGTTCCCGGTTTGCGACGAGTTCTCTCTCGCCAACGTACTCGAAGGAGAGCGCAGGCGCCCTGAACAATCATACATTGCAGATCCCACAGCAAGCTGGATCGATGACTTCCTCCAATGGGTCGACCCAGGCCGGACAGATTGCTGTGTGGAAGAAGACGGCACGCCCTGCTTCGAAGGCCGCATGCCGACCTTCAACCCGACTCTTCAAGGCCGACCGACTGGTGAGGAGTTCATCCACTACGCCGAACGCTGGCTTGTCGCTCTCCCAGGCGAGGACTGCCCCGTCGCCGGCAAAGCAGCCTTCGCAGACGCCGTTGTCCTCAACAACGAAACGAACACCATCCACGCCAGTCACTTCCGCACCGCCCATACTCCCCTCCGCAGCCAAGCCGACTTCATCAACTCCTACGCCTCCGCCCGCCGCATCGCCGCCGACATCTCCGACCGCAACGACGGCATCGACGTCTTCCCGTACAGCAAACACTACATCTTCTTCGACCAATACGCCTCCATCGTCTCACTGTCCACCGCGCTCGTCGGCTCCGCACTGGCGTTCATCCTGGTCATCGTCACGCTACTCCTCGGCTCCCTCGCTACCGGCCTCGTCGTGACGATCACAGTTGCCATGATCGTCGTCGACATCGTCGGCACCATGGCTCTCGCCGGCGTCTCCCTGAACGCCGTCAGCTTGGTCAACATCGTCATCTGCGTCGGCATCGGCGTCGAGTTCTGCGCGCACATCGCCCGCGCCTTCACCATTCCCTCGTCCTCAATTCTAGAACGCGCCCAAGGCAAGTTCCGCGGCAAAGAGGCACGCGCGTGGGCGGCGCTGGTGAATGTAGGCGGGAGCGTGTTCAGCGGGATCACGATTACGAAGTTGTTGGGTGTGTTTGTGCTGGCTTTTACGCGGAGCAAGATCTTTGAGATTTACTATTTCAGAGTTTGGTTGGCTCTCGTGGTGTGGGCGGCGCTGCATGCGTTGGTGTTCTTGCCTGTTGCTTTAAGCTTCTTTGGGGGTGCTGGTGAGTTCTATCATGAGACTGCAATAGGAGTGGATGTGTGCTGACGATTGATCACAGGCTACATTGACCCCGAGAGCGACGGAGGGCTGGAGCAGGATCTGGCGAGTCGACGGTATCGGGCCTTGCTGCCTGAAGATGCTTACGATAGCGATGAGTACTAGATCTCTCGATCGTCCCGCAGAAGTCATATAGCAGACAGAAACAATGAACATCTCTGTCATCAGACCCCTCTTCCCTCCAGCCAGCGATGAGATTTCGTGCTTCCCAATCTTCCACATTGCCGGGTTCTGAGTGCGACATCCCCGCCTGCTTCTAACAATTCATCTACCAAGATTACCCGGCACCGTATCATCAGTTCAGCTGCAATATTTCCCGCCATCACTCTCGCATATCACTCTACTGCAGCTGCCCGCTCGCATACCACGCCCGTCCTACGCCGACCGAGAACGAGAACCTCGTTCCCGTCCCGACCCCCGAATCACACGGCGACGCCGAGCCGAAAAAGCCCCCGTCAGCTCGCCAACCCCAGTCTCCTCCAAGCCCGCAGGGCGCATCCTGATTCCTGATTCTTCCTCCACGCTGACAGCGCCTCGAACCGCGTGAAGCTGCTGAAGCAATCTATATGTGATGACGCTCATTTCTTTCACGATCGTTTGTGGAGATGATGGGGCATAAGGTTGCAAGGGTAGACTGTAGGGAAAAAAAGCAATTGTGATGATTGTGGGTGGAGGAAGGGAGATCGATAAGAAGCCCTCGGAGGATTTGTTGCATCCTCTAAGTGGCCACCGCGAGAGCTGGTTGTCATCAAACGTGTGCAGCACTCCAGCAGACGGGCGGAGCGCAGATGTGAATGATGATCTATACCGTCGCACAGCCCTGACAGACACCCTACCCTGAACCCACAACCACGGCTCCCTCATCGTCTTCCGTCCTCGTACCGTGGTAGCTTTCGCTCTCAAATCCGGTAGACATCCCTCCCTACCGTAGCACAACATTCACAGCTCCCACGTCTCTCGCATCCCGTACATGCAGCAGTCCAGCTCCCAAACCATAGTTGAGAAAAGTTTGAGGCGACGTCTGGGCGTACAGAGTACGGACGTCACGTCAGTAACTGCATGTAGAGGTGAGTGATAGCTTCTCGGAGCTCGTGGTGAACGGAGAAGTGCCCGCGAGCGTGGTCTGGTCATGCTTGGTGAGCCGTGGGGGGGAGAAGGCGTGGTGACGGTGATGATGATGATACTGCGCCTCTACCTCGATGGTGAACTCGAAGTGTCTGACGTGCTGCGCTAACAGCCCAGTTCCGAAACAGTGAGAGAACGAAGAAACGATGCAGCTGATGATGCTTGAACAGTGATACACAAGTAACATATCTGATACAGTTACTTCCCTCCCCTTCCATCCATCCCATCCTTCTCTCTACACACACATATCCCATATCCCACATCCTACGCCTGTACTCGCTGTAGAGACTATCGAACTCTTGGAACGCCTTGCAAAATCGTAGCCCACTGGTCTAAGGAAACACGCAAGAACACCCCATTACTTTCCATCATAAAACGAACGGATGCCCATTTATCCATAACCCTTTCCGTTCGTGGCAAGCAGCTGCGCCCACCGCAGGTCAGAGGTATGTGCAATGAGAACACCAGATTCCGACAAGACAGAAGAGAGAACTCGTCTATTGCTTGCGGAAGTAGAGCGTCAACCAGCCTAGGATCCTGTAACCAGCGATGATGCCAATCATGATGCCGATCCAGGTCCCCGTCTGCCCGACACTGTATCCGTAGTTCTGCAGCACGGCCGTGCCTTCGATCAGACACTCATCCGCGAGCCTGCTGTCGTATGAGCAGGTGCACTTGCCGTCGGGAGTCGCGGGAGGCGCGCAGGTGAAGTTGCGGGCGCCAAACTCGTTGACCATCATGCCCTGGAAGACGTAGGATTGGTAGTCGATGTAGTGGAAGACGTAGCGCCAGAACGGGTTGAGCGTGTGCGGCGGGACGAGGAAGCCGCCCGTGCACATCCAGAGGCCGTTGGCGAAGGCGGTGCCGGCGAGGGCGACGACGAAGATGGGGATGAGGGAGCTGATGAGCACGACGAGCGACTCGGCGGCGATCAAGTCCAAGAACAGCCACATGACCCAGGTGAAGAAGGCCTCGGCGGACGGGCGGAAGTTGGAGAGCCAGTAGGCGACCACGGAGAAGAGCAGGGCGATGAGGAAGAGGTACGGGATGCCGGTAATGAAGTTGGCGACCAGGAAGGACGTGGGCCCGTAGAGACCGTTCGCGCGCTCTTTGATAAAGAGCGCGCGATCCTCTAGGAACGCAGGAATGTAAGCGACGGCCATGAAAGACATGAACGCGCCGCCGAAGAAGATGGCGTTGATGAAGGACTGGATGTTGTTCTGGTTGGGGTTCAATCGCAGCCAGACCGTGCCCATCATGACGGCCAGGCCCATGTACATGGCGATGCGGATGCCGTAGGCGATGATGTCGCGGTAGGACTTGATGAAGGAGCGGTGGATGAGGGCGAGCGGGATGGCGAATCTGCTCGCGCTCTCGTCCTTGACTTCTGCGTTCACGTCGTTGTCCATCGAGTTGCGGGCCATCTCGTCCGTAAGCTCAGTAACGGTGGCAGTAGCAAGCCGCGACTTGTGCCAGGACGAGTGAACCATGTGCAGCTGCTGGTCGACCTCGCTGCGATCACGGGCAAAATCCGTGTTGACGAAGTCGATGATGAATTCGGCCGGGTTCATGTAGAGAGGGATGGGAAAGCCGCAGGCGTCGAAGTATGGCTGGACTTCGGACACTGGACCACTATACGCAGTGCCACCCTGTGACAGAAGGAGGAGCTTGTCGAACATGGCGAAGGTGGAGGTGGACGGCTGATGGATCGATGCGATCACGATCAACTATAAGCATTGTTAGCATGTGATTCCAGTCTGATCGTTTGGAGATGTCTTACGTTGTGCTTCTTAGCAATGTCCTTGACGAACGAAATGACCTCGAACGATGCAGCAGAGTCCAGACCAGAAGTGGGCTCGTCCAGGAAGAGGAGTTTCGGGCTGGTGATGAGCTGGGCCGCCACACTGACACGTCGCTTCTGACCACCTGAGATGCCCTTCCTGATAGGAGTTCCGATCAAGTTGTTGGCTTGGCCGGCGAGACCAAAAGCAGTGAGGAGGGATTCGATACGCTGGATGCGCTCCAACTTGCTCACGCTAGAAGGAAGGGAGAGGCGTGCAGCGAAGTTGAGTGTCTCGCGGACGGTGAGGGAGCCGACCAGCGCATCTTCTTGCTCGACGTAGGCGGAGATGCGGCGGAAGGTCTTAGGGTTAGCAGGCGAGCCGTTGATGTAGACTGCGGCCTTGACGCTGGCGGCCAGGGCGGATGTTCGGTGGGCGAGCACGTTGAGGAGAGTCGACTTTCCGGAACCGCTGAAATGTTTGTTAGCTCATGATCTTTAAAATTGAGGTGACGGTGAACGCACGATGGGCCCATGAGAGCGAGCAGCTCGCCGGCCTTGACGATGCCATTGATATCTGAGAGGATGGTCTTGGGCTGCTGCGACTGCCGGTCCTTGACGGTGACGGTGACGCCCTTCCAGCCGAAGCTGCGGATGTTGGTGTTTGTGAGCTGAGCGTAATCGCCGCCAATCATCTTCTCGATGTCAGACATTTTGCTGTAGCTGGCGCGATCAGGCTTCGCGGCGTGTTGATCCAGGTTGAGCGGTTCAGACACAAGAGTGTCGCGGGGGCGAAGTTGGCAATTGAAGGAATGAGCGTGGGTGAGTCAGGAGACCAGCTTCCGTGTGACCACAAAGAGACGCGGTGTCGGCGAGGCGACAGGGCACGTCGAGAAGGGTAGAAGACTCTTCGAAGGAGTGAAGTCGGTGGAAGAGTCAGTGGGTTGGATGTGCGTAGATCCTGTCGTAGGAGGGAAGAGGGGAGAAGAAGAAGCAGAAGCTAGCGGGCGGGCGTTTGGTGGTAAAAGGAGTCAGTGCGGGTCTGGAGAGGGTGATATCTTGCGCTACACAGCACTCGCGGACAAGGGCAAGGGCAGGGCGAGGTTGGCGAGGTCGAGGTCGTCGTCCGTCTACGTGGGGAAGGCACAGCAACGATCAATTGCTTTGGGAAGGAGCGACGGCGACGTCCGCGGGTTGAGAGGAGGCAAGAGCGATGTGCTGCCACTCCACGCCATCCTCCTCCTGGCGGCCGGCGCTCTCGACCGCACAACGGGTGGCTTTGGAGAGAGAGTGGCATGCGTGCAAACGACTCGCCCTCGCCAACCCTGCTTCTCTGGTGCAGCCGCCGGCCCAAGCGCACGCATTAGTGCACTCGTTAAATCGGTTTCAAATTGCCCTTCCCCACCCTCACCACACTCTGTACCTGCCCTTGGCGCTCGTCGGCAAACGCCCGAGTTTCGTGCCCCTGACCATATCGCGGCACTTCTTCCACATGCGTCCGAGTCGCTTCTCAAATCCAATTCATCCTCCCGTGCTCTTCCGTGGAGCTGCCCATCTCGAACATGCGGCCGCAGCGCATCCCTGGGCGGGGTGATGGCGTGGCACAGGAACAACGGCCGGCCTGTGTAACCGCTGCGGTCTCACACCCTTCGACGGCTACCTGCAGCCCTTTCACGCCGCTTACAGCATCTACAATGACCAGAACAGCTTCGATGCGCGGAGACCTCAGCTGGCACATGCTTTTGTTCGGCTCGTCCAGTTCACCAGCCGAGTCAGATCTCCGCTCCTCAGCGCTCCTTTAGGATTCTGCACATCTCATCATCAGATCATCAAATCTGGTTCCTGGCTAATGCGCCTGTGCCGAGGGTGGGGCGCGCCGCTAATGCCAACCTTAGTCTTCCTTCCAGCCGCCGTCATAGGCGGCTCGGAGGTTTAACTGATTGATCTGCAACGAATCTAAGCTCGATCTGGGCAGTTCGCTGGGACATCACAAACCGCACTCCTTCCAGATCTACCCCTGGATCATGGGTGATATCTCCATTCCTCCGGCAGTCCATTCTCCCGCTCTGCAAGCGTGCTCGTAGTGGTCGCTGCAAGCTCATCATCGATCAGACGGTTGATATGCAACTGCTATCGGTCTTGTGCGACGGGACTGTCTGGGAATGTGCATGCCCTCTGCCACGTTGTCGCCGCTCCAACTCAGCACACCAGTAGCTTGGACGGGCTTGAGCGCAAGTCGGGTACTGGTACAGCTCACCAGTCCTGTGTCGTGGGACGGACTGCGTGATTTGTCGTCTGTTTCGTCCACTAGAGCAGTACAGTCTCCTGATGCATCCGCTTCCCAGATCAGAAAAGCATCACGCTTCTGGGCCACCTCAGGAGTCGTGGCGTAGCGGCCGAGACGGTGTGAAGTTTAGTGAGCGCCGTTGAGAGGTCTCGGAGGTCTAGCGATATCCAAGAGCACCAGATTTGGCGGTAGGGAGCACGGGGCAGTCGGCTAGCCCTCGAGTCCCAAGCCTGGCTGCCGGCCAATAGCACACCCCCCGGTCCTTGCTCGTCACGCCTCTCTTCTCTGCTTCTCTCGTCCAACTGCTCTCTGTCCGAGGGCGTCATGGTGTTCCCATCCTTCGACCACCTTCCCTCTTGAGCTCTCACGCCTTCCATTCACTGTCACGACTGCTGCTGCTGCAACAAAGGGCCTTCCACCGACGTCGCTCGTTACTAACCCTATCTCCTCTGGAATTGCTGTGAATTACACGACCAATCTTGGGTCGACCTCGCCGCGACATATGCTGTATAACTAGCCAGGAACGTTCGGACATGTGCTGAGCCAACCCTACTATTCCAATTACTCCAACAAAGCACAACACTTTCCCTCAGCTTTAGAATGGAGATTCCTGCCCACATCCTCGACGCCGTTCACGCTTCCAACGACATCAACCGCGCTCCCTCCGCCAAATCTTCACCACGAAAAGTTGCGAGTCGGTCACGATTCACAAAGTCGCGCAGTGCGCGCTCTTCCGCCGACGACATTTCTTCTCTCTCCAGTGCCTCTGAGCCGGAACATGGTTACCAGACCGACTTCACATCGCTACCTTCAGATTCCTGTCCCGAAGACATGCAGCCCGACGATGTGGAAGACTTTAAAGATCGCGAGTATCCCCAGTTGAAGGGCAAGACCTATCTGGACCATGGCGGGACTACGGTGCGTCTACTCTGCGTTGGAGAAGATGAGACGGAACTGACAAGCTCAACAGATCTATGCGAAATCCATGATTGAAGAGTTCGCTACTGATATGGTCTCGAACCTCTACGGCAATCCTCACTCTGCGTCTACACCTTCTGCGATCTCAGGACACCGCGTAGACGCCATCCGCGAACGCGCGCTTCGATTCTTTGGCGCGGATCCCGACGAGTTCGACCTCGTCTTCACTATGAATGCGACAGCGTCCATCAAGATGGTCATCGACTGCTTCAAGGACTATGCGGCAACGACGAACACGCCGGTGTGGTACGGGTATCACAAGGACGCACACACCTCGCTAGTGGGCGCAAGAGAGTTGACCAAGATGCACCGATGTTTTGCGAGCGACGAAGAGGTGGATCTCTGGATCAACAGCGGTGGCTTTGGCGGTCCGAGGGCAAGACAGCTGGGCTTGTTCGCGTATCCTGGACAGTCGAACATGACCGGGCGGCGGCTGCCGCTGAGTTGGTAGGCACAAAACGCATCATGAGGATCCCACCGAGGTCAAGACTTGCTAACGTTACGCAGGTGTGGTCGGATCCGGAAGTCGTTCCACAAGGCTGCGACGTACACACTGTTGGACGCAGCTGCGCTTGCGAGCACGGCGCCTCTGGATTTCTCCGATGCTGCAAACGCACCGGATTTCACTGCCCTGTCGTTCTACAAGATCTTTGGGTTCCCCAACATCGGCGCCCTGATTGTTCGGAAAGCTTCGGACCACGTTCTGGGGAGTCGTAAGTTCTTCGGTGGCGGGACCGTCGACATGATCATAGCCATTCAGGACACCTGGCACGCGAAGAAGGAAGGTGCTGTGCACAACCGTCTGGAGGATGGGACGTTACCGTTCCATTCGATCTTTGCTCTGGACCACGCGATGACGTGTCACGAGCGACTGTACGGCCCCAATCCGATGAAGTTCATCTCGCATCACACCGCGCAGCTCGGGAAGATGGTCTGGGATGGGCTGAGCTCGCTCAAACATTCAAACGGCAAGCCCGTCGCCGTCTGCTACAAGGATGACGTTGCCGTCTATGGCGATCCTTCAGTTCAAGGTGCTACGGTCGCTTTCAACATCATCAGATCTGATGACACGATGGTTGGCTACGAGCAGGTCGAGGAGGCAGCAGACGAACGCCAGATCTACGTGCGCAGCGGATCTCTCTGCAACCCTGGTGGCATGGCGTCGTACCTGGGCTGGTCACCGATGGAGATGCGAGCAGCCTACGCAGCAGGCCATCGCTGTACTCACCCAACCCAGCTCATGTTCGGGAGGCCCACTGGCGTGGTTCGCGTCAGCCTGGGCGCCATGAGCACAGAGACAGATGTGCAAACATTCCTGGCCTTCGTCGAGGACGTCTACGTGGACAACAAGGGCGGCGGCCAGCCACGCGCCGCCGTTGCACAAGCCTTGCAAAAGGCACGCACCGTGCAAACATCTAATTCTCTTCGCCCAACATCCCCCAACGCCCCTGCATCACCCAGCCACATGCCTGTGCACGTTCCTCCCGCACCACCACACTCCTTCCAACACCCGGACGGCTCTCCACTCGCCCAACAGCCCGAATCAGACCCGGAACGTCCCCGCTGGGTGCCAGCCGACTACATCAAATACCGCAAGCCCTGGGAAGAGGAGATGCGCAAAGCACAGTACTCCAACCCGCCGACCGTGGGCATGGAGATCAAAGTCCGCGAACTCGACGACGCCTCTTCCCGCAACAACCCGACTCCAAGCGTGAAAGCGCGCAAATTCGGCCGCAGCATGGTCAACTTGTTACGAACCAAACAACATGCCCAAGACGGCTCAGGAGGAGGCGCTGGCGCCGGCGGCGGTAACGGAAACGGAAACGCCAGCCACCACGCTCGGTACGTGCCACCACCAATACCACAACAACCCTCGCAACGTTCTTTGTTCGACAGCAGCAAGAACAGCAACCCTTGACATACGCTGCCTTCTCGGGGACTGAATGAATGAATGAGACCTAACGTGGATTTTGCTGTTCGAACTAGGCCGCCGCTACCGCCTTCGCCACTGTATCAACACGATACCGCGGCCGGCGCTTCGAGCACTTCACTACGGTCACGGCGGAGCTTCGAGAAGGCGCAGTTCAGGTCGAACGTCGAAGCGCTGGGGATGTGAATGTGATTGGATCGATCTGGTTTGGTCAGAATTTTTGATGTTTCAGCATGGCGTTTCCGGGCGGTTTGGGGTTTTGTGTGTGTCTGGGGCTTTGCATATTGAGATGATACCAAGAGCGCTGACGGCATTATTTCTATTTGTGATCATACTGGTACATTGGGCTGATTGGAAAAAGACAGTGAAAAGGGCAGAAAGATATGTGGGCTTGTTGTGCGCTGCGCTGCTGGACTTGGGATACTGCTTGCTTGCTTGTTTGAAAAAGCGAACGGCTGGTTGGGTTGTGGTTTGGGAGACGATTGGTATTGTATTCTTGACACATACATGTAGCAAGAACCTATGTTTGTTACTGCAGCGAGCTGAGCTGGGCTTTGTACATACTATACGCATACTTACATATTTACGTTGGCTGTCGAGCGATTACTGGAGGCGATGTAGCTATAGCGAGAAGAGAACATTTATCACATACTCACGTGCCTCGCTTTCCTATGTCGAATCTGCCCACAATTCTCGCAACACAACGAGCTCTCCGATGACAGATCCCACCCATCCAGCCAACCGAAGAAAACATTCTCGCCACCACCACATGTCTCAACCCCAAACCCAGCCAGGACTACACGCCCTCGCGTCCTCACACACCCACCGACTAAACCGCCCGTTTGGCGGCCACGAGGGCAGGCGTCGGAGCGAATCGTCTCATCCTGCAGCCATCCATCCACACTCGGCACATTCGTCAGAGTTGACAGACGGCATCAACGGCTCCCAAAACCGCTCGCCACGCCGCCGCCACGCCTACACCACCGCCCTTGTCTGGCGCTGAGACGGGTCATCGCAGGTCCATACATATTGTAGAGGTCGTATATGCGCGCGCCTCCACCCGTGGCACATGTCGTATCGGCCGCCATCCGAACCACCACAACCACACGGCTCACTCAACTTTAGCCGGCTCCCTGTACCCTGTCCTGCGCACCTCATGCCCCCTCGACCAGGTCCGCGGAAACCCGCAGCAACACCGCGTCGCACGGCGTCACGTCACTCCGCAACGTTCCTGGGAATTGCACAACGGCTGTGGAGACGCGGCGGAGGTGGTGCAGCACGCTGTGCGACGTTGGGCACAAGATTCGAGAATTTCTAGAAAACCCAGGCCAGGCGATTGTTGCGTTTGTGCTGCGAGAGCGCTTGATTGGAATTCGGACAAAGGGTGTTTTTGGGGTGATGGTGTGGTGGTGCCCTTGTGGTTTTGTCGGGATTCGGGGGGTGGGACGTGTGCGAGGAGGGGGATGTTGTGGTTTGGGGATTGGGGACGGTGAGGTGGCGAGTGTGCGAGTACGGGGAGGCAGAGTCGGTGTGCGAGTACCCGTTGCGTGCGTGGGCGGTGGCGGGGGTGTTGCAGCTGGGATGGTGATGCGGTGCAGAGTGATTACGGTGTCCTTGGATAGCTGAGGTTCGAAGTTGGCGACGCGGCGGTCCTGCTGCTCGTCGTGGTGATCATCTCATGCTCTGGGCTGCTCAGTCTGCGAACAAGAGTCCGGCTGCTTGCTCGATGTTGCCGTCTGTAGCATTGAGCGCTGCAACCGCTTGCTGCTGGTTGAAGCCTAGATCTTGTAAGCTCTTCACGCTCTCAGCCGGGTAGGGATGAGCAGGCGTAGGCAAAGAGGCTCCGAACGGCCTCATCGGGCCCTGTTGCGCCGGCTCTCCTTGTTGCTGAACAGGAGCCTCCAACGGCACCGCCCTCCTCACCACCCCAGCAACCCGCTCCGCCCACTCCCAAGGCCTCTCCTCCCCAGCAGGCTCACTGCAAAAGTACTCCCATCCCATCACACCCCCAAACCCCTCCCCATACCTACTCCTTAGCGTCCTCAACACCCCTCCCAGCCCCTCCCATCGCACAAACCCACTGCCCAACTTCGGGCTCGTAAGCAGACCCAGCACCACCCTCCTGCTCGCCCACCCAGCAGCGACAATAGCATCGTACCACATAGTCGTCCCCGCACTCCCCCATCCATTGTAGAACTGCACATTATACCACGCAATCTCCCTTCCCCTCTGGCGCTCCAACTCAAAGTAATTGAACCCCGACAAGTGCGGTTGACCAACCAACAGCGCAGTCGCCACCGGCGCCATGGTGATCAAGAACTCCGGTCCAAAATCCGCTCGTAGCGTGTCGATGAGTCGGATCATACTGGACAACGAGACTTCCTCTTCGACATCCAAGTCCATGCCGTCGAAGTCATAAGTCCGCAGGAAGTCCCGTAGAGGCTCGTAGTACGTTCTAAACGCCCCCTCATCCTCCGTGGCCAGACGGGTGAAGGTACCTTTGGCGGCTCCGCCGAGCATGGCGAGGCATTTTATTCCTGTTGCGCGGAGCCAGGCGACTTCGGACCAGAGGGTGGCGAATTTGGGATGAGATGGGGGGTTGTCGTTGAGGGTGAGGTCGCCGGGGGTGGAGTTGAGATGGACGGCTGCGAGGATGAGGTGGGTTACGCCGGTGGGGTTGGTTATGAAAGGAAGTAAGGAGACTGGTTGGTCATGGTTGGGGTGGTGGTGGGTTTGGTGGTAGAGGATCAGGCGGGGGCCTTGGGGGAGGGGGAGGAGGTCAGTGGGGTTGAGGGGTGGCATGGTTTTGCGATTCTGGCATTGAAAGGTGTCTCTCGCATGGGGGGGTGATGTCTCAAGGTGCAAGAAGCGGAGCAGGCGGAGTAGAGAGGTAGCAACTCAATATGGGACATAATTTAAACGGAGTACATCTTCCCAAAAAAGAACATGAAGCTACTGTGACGGAGAAGAGGTGGATCAACACTAAACACTCAAGACATCAGAATTCCTCAAAGTCATTTCTGTTGCTGCGAAGAGCTCATTGTCAATGCACATTTGCAGTGTTCCAGTATCTCTAATGCAACGCCAGTCCTGCTGTCCCTTGCCCGCAACCCTTGATCTGACAAAGGAGACATCTGGAATATCCTCAAGCCTACCGCATGTCCCTTTTCGTCCTTGCCTCCTCATCGTATCATGTCCATCATCAGACGTACTGCGTCCCGTCCTCCACATCCCATCCCTCAATGATACCCATTCGTCCTTCCGCCAAAGACGCCCATGCTTGGTTGGATGTACCCGTGCAAGCAAGCTTGCTTCGCACTGATCCTGCCCGCCGGATCGTAGACCAACAGCGCCTCCAGCAGATCCAGCCCCTCGTTGCCCAGCATCTTCACCGCATCCTTCGTCACAATCTCCTCATCATGCTTGCGCTCCCATTTAGGGAAGCTCGACTTGAAGTCCGGGAACGACGTGACGCCTGGCCAGTCGTTCTCCGAAGGCGTACCCAACACGCGGAAAATCTTGAAGATCTCGTCGATCTCGCTGTCACCCGGGAAGAGTGGTTTGCGCGTCGCCATCTCTGCGAAGATGCAGCCGATGCTCCACATGTCGACACCCGTGCTGTACTGTCTCCCGCCCAGCAAGATCTCCGGCGCGCGGTACCAGAGCGTGACGACTTCGTGGGTGTATGTGCGGAGAGGGACGCCAAAGGCGCGGGCGAGACCGAAGTCAGCAATCTTGAGGTTGCCGTTCACGTCGATGAGAAGGTTCTGGGGCTTCAGGTCGCGGTGGAGGATGCGGTGGGAATGGCAGTAGCGGATGCCGGTCAGTAGCTGTGTGGTGAACTTCTTGACCTGAGCAGGATGTTAGTAGGTGGCTGCTTGGACGAAGAATACGCCAAACCTACCATCTCCGTCCCCAATCCCATATGTCCCATCCTCCCCTCCATCGCGCCGTCTGGTAATGGCTTGCCCCGCCCACCCTGGCTCACAGGCAGCGCCTCCATGTACTTCTTCAGGTCCAAGTCGAGGAACTCAAACACGAGATAGAGCTTGTGGCCATCCGCATGAACAATGTTGAGTAAGCGCACAATCGCAGGATCGTTCATCTCCTTCAATAGCGAGATCTCGCGAATGGCTGTTGATGGGACACCCTCATCTTCTGCTTCAAGGCGAATCTTCTTGAGCGCGACGATGCGTTGATCGGGTGTAGTGAGGTCGCGCGCCTTGTAAACGACACCGTACGTGCCCTCCCCGACCTTCTCGAGCTTCTGGTAGTTCTCCATCGTTTCCTGGTTGTCGTGTTGTGGTCCGGGTGGGAGTGTAAGTTGGTAGTTCGCTGCAATGTTAGTGGGCGTTTGATGTGGCTACGGTGCCTTCATATGCTCCATCCAGGCCTCTCCCAGCTTCACGTAGATTCTCTGAAGCTCAATGCTTTGTGTCGGGTCGTTCTTTTGGTCAGTTCACCAGCGATCAACAAAACACGCGATCGCGCTTGCGCTTGCATATGCGGGCCGTTGGCCGGAAAGGCTTGGCATGCACCTCAGACGTCGGTTTTGCCAGCACATGTGTCGCCTCAAGTCTTGCTAGTACTGATTGCAGGCTCACATCGACACGCACGAGTTCGCGCAGATACTATAGTGCAGCGTGATGGGTGTGCTCTCTTTGCAGGGCACCGCGATTCGGATAGAGAGATGCTATCAGCTGCAGGCCAGCTCACCTGCGTGCGGCTGATCACATGAGTACGCGACACAAGCGCGCTACCACTCCGTTCTCATCTGGAAAACGCAATTACTTCGACACGGCAAGCGAAAAATAGTGAAAGCGGCCGCCCGGATATAGCTGGCAGTGACAGTCTTCTCCGACACGAGATTGCGGTCAGAAAGACCACATCACTCTCGTCAGTGGGCTGTCTTTGTCTGTGAGAAGGTCCCTTATACGGCTCACACTGATCAAGTGGACCTTCTTCTCCGAACGGAATCGCGGCTCAAAAGGCCACATCACTGCCGTCAGTGGGCTGTCATTGTGTGTGAGAAGGTCCCTTATACGGCTCACACCGATCTAGTGGACCGTCTTCTCCGACAAGGAATTGCGGCCCAAAGGGTCACATCACTCCCGTCAGTGGGCTATCGTCGTCTGTGAGAAGGTCTCTTACACAGCGCACACCAATCTAGTGGACCGGTCTCACTATCGACAGCTTGCATGGCTCCCAATCGAGGTAAAGGCAAGGCACGAGCTGTTGACGGTCCGGCTCGAGCGCTTACAAACGGCCAACGGACCACTCGATCTTCCCGGAAGTCTAAGGCTGGAAACGACGATGTTTATGGAGATATGCTTGCCGAGGCGGCTGTCGTCGATCCCCTGGCGGAGGAGCTCTCAGACAGACCGTTGAAGAGACGGCGAGTGGCCGCGAAGTCGAAGCCGGATGCCGGCTCTCCAGGAAAGCATGAGCGGCAGCTGAATACGCCACCCCGCCCGTTACCCCTGAATATGCAGACGGTGGAAGACTCTTCTGCTTCAGATGACGAAGATGAGAGCGACTTCGGCTTCGAAGACGTGGACCTTGATCAGCCTGCTGCATCCAGCCCGGCCGCAGCTGACCAGCACGACGACGGTATTGCAGACGTCTCCGTTGCCGTGGACTCCGTCCCGAAGCGTCAGGTCCGCCTGAAGCGCAAACCAGCATCCGTCGCAGAGAAAGCATATCGACTCCAGGTGCACAAAGCCCACGTACTCTGTCTGCTCGGACACTGCATGTACATCAACAGCTGGTGTAACAATCTTTCTGTTCAGCGACATCTGCGGCCACTGCTACCCAAGAATGTCATCTCCTTCCTAAACCCAAAAGCAGCAGACTCTCAATTCCGGCAGACCGAAGCTTTCATGGACGGCCTAAGACAAGCCTCGGACATCTTCAGGGGGACATTCCAAATCACAGCTTCTGGGATGCGCAGCGCACAGTGGGAGACAGAACCAGATGATATCAAAGCTGGGCCAGTGGATCGGTCCGACTTTATCTCGGCTGCTCGCGATCTCGAAGGCTCGCAGGACACTGGTAATCAGCTGTTTTGTGCTCTATTACGATCTGTTGGGGTTGAGGCTCGACTGGTCTGCTCTCTACAGCCTCTACCCTTTGGCAACCCGACAAACAAGTCCAGCACGCCACAAAAGGTGAACAAGCCAGTCGTGTACGCCACAGCGTCTGGAATGCGTTCTTCAGCTCCAAACTCTGACACCGACGACCATGCTATGCAATCCTCTTCAACGGTAGGCAAAGTCCCATCAGCCCGCCGCCGTCTCGGTCAGCCCTCATTTGCTCCCGATCCAGCACCACCTGTAGCATCATCCAAACCAAAGACATCTGTTCGAAGACTGAACTTTCCTGTCTTTTGGATAGAAGCATTCAATCCAGCTCATCAAAAGTGGATTCCGGTGGACCCTATCGTCTCAAGTACCGTCGCCAAACCATCTAAGCTGGAGCCACCATCATCCTATCACCTCACTCAGCTCAGCTACGCCATTGCGTTCGAACAAGACTGTGTAGTCCGGGATGTCACCCGTCGTTACGCTCGTGCGTTCAATGCCAAAACCCGCCGTACCCGAGTCGAAAGCACGACCAACGGCGCCGCATGGTTCAAGAAAGTTTTGCGCTTCTTCCGCCGCAGAGGCGAAGCCTTGGATCGGGATCAAGTAGAGGACGCTGAGCTGAGCCAGCGCGAGGCGAAAGAAGGGCTACCGGGTAATGTGGTGGACTTCAAAGATCATCCTTACTACGCGCTCGAGCGGCATATGAGACGCCATGAAGTCATACACCCGAGGCGAGAGGTCGGCAAGGTCAATGCTGGCACGGCTGCGAAGCCACGTATGGAGGCGGTCTATAGGCGGACCGACGTATGCATTTGTCGCAGCGCAGATAAGTGGTTCAGGCTGGGTCGCGAGATCAAGGAAGGCGAGCAGCCGCTGAAGCGTATTCCTGCGCCTCGCTCCAGGAGACTGCAGAGGTCCCCTTCTGCTGCAATGGACGGTGATGACGGAGGCGAGGAGGAGAGGGAGATGACACCTCTCTACGCGCACTTTCAGACCGACCTGTACGTGCCGCAGCCCGTCCGTAATGGCAAGGTACCTCGCAACGCTTTCGGCAATCTCGACATATACGTTCCTTCCATGGTTCCTGCAGGAGGCGTGCACGTTCGACATCCGCTCGCACGTGACGCGGCCAAGGTTCTGGGTGTTGATTGGGTTGATGCCGTGACGGGCTTCAAATTTGAAGGCAGGAGAGGCACACCGGTCACAGATGGAGTCGTTATTGCGGAAGAGAACGGCGATTCTGTAAGAACTATCATTGAAGGCTTGCTGGACGAGCGAGTGGAGGAGGAGGCGATGGCGAGAAGTAAAGTTGCGCTGGGCTTGTGGCGCAAGTTCTTGGTAGGCTTGAGGATCAGAGAGAGGGTAGCGACGTATGGAGAAGCAGCAGCCGATGTTGAGATGGAAGAGGACCATGGTGGAAATAATGACGATCTGGACTACGAGGGCGGTGGGTTTGTTCAGTCAGACGCTGCGGATAACGAGACGTTGCCGACTGCAGGTCGCTTCTCGTTGATGGAACTTGCTAGCGGCACTGCTTCACGCAAGAAGAAAGTTGATGGTGCGGCTAAGCAGAGTAATAAGCGGGTTAAGGACGAGGAGAGCGAAGAAGCTGCTGACTTTTCGGATGCTGGAAGCGAGGATGGCGATGAAGATGACAGCAGGGCCAATCCTTCGACGTCTGCCTCCCGAGTTACTCGCAGCCGACGGAGGATTGTAGAGGACGAGGACAGTGCGCACGAAACCACTCCCGAACGCGGAGAAGCGCTCCATACTGCCCACCACCATGCTAGCGACGAGGAGGGCGGCGGGTTTCTGCCCGACGACAGTGACAACGACATCACTGGCGGTGGCTTTCTGCCCAGTGCGGTAACCCAAGAAGGATATGGTGGAGGAGGATTTGTTCCTACAGACGACGGTAGCAGACTCCTCCAAGACGGCTTGGATGAGGGTGGAGGTGGCTTCCTACCGGATGAGGAGGCTGGACCAGAGGTGGATGACCATGTTGGCAATGCTGCAGGTGATTTCCTGCCGGTCGACGGTGGTGGCTCAGGTTTGGAGAAGGATGATCACGATGACCATGGAGGTGGCTTCGTGCCTGATGAAGACGATATGGCCACTGAAGGTAATGATGGTCACAGCCAGAATCTCCAGCCGAGGAACGAGCCTCATCAAGAACTAAGTCGTTCCGCGAATACTCCAGCGGAGCCACCGGGAGAGAAGCAAGCGTCCGACCAAACGGATATCATCACGTCCGCGACACCCAATCGGCGTCTGGATGCGGATACGACTACGAGAGCCATCAACTCATCTGTCACCATTGCCGGGACAGAGCCCGCTGCCAGCGAGGCGGACGAGAGCGATCGAGGCTCGATGCTTTCGCATGACCCGGAGGACGAAGATGCGGAGCCAGATTGGCTTGAGAGTGATTGAAGAGCTTGACAGTACCGGCGTTGTCTAGTATAGCCAGGGCTGGAGTGGTTGTAGAGGGCTGGATAGCCACGGATCGACCGTAGATGATTGGGAGAGCGGGATGGCAGTATGACAAGCTGAGCGTTGGCAGATTGTCGGGTAGGGCAGTGGTATGAAGCCCTTTTAGAATCAGGGTACACTAATGTATCAGTTGTAGTACTTGCCCTTGACCCCAGGCACGACCTCCTTCTCATCCATCTCATTCCTGGTCTTCCCTTTTGCGACTTCCAAGGCTATTTGAGCCACCGACCCGCTGTCCTGCAGTTGTCTTTTGCTGCGGCCTGTTCCATTTATCAGATCCAACTTCTTCAGTGACAGTGCCCTTAACTACCTTCGATGGCATTTCGTCTCCGGGATGGGAAAGGTAGAGTACACACAGTCCGTCCATTGCTGATTGTTCAGAAGATGGCGCAGCGAACTCCATTTCACAAATTCGCCTGTGACGGATCCCACACATTCGGCGAGGTTGACGTTGATAGATACGGAAGGGCACACGTCCTTCGCTCTTTCCTTTCATTTGGACTTTCGCATTGTCCATACCTTAATTTGACCCACCTCGCCAGCATGCCCAAGACCAGCGTATCTGCTAACCAGTGTTTCATCGTGGTCGTTTGGACGCATATAGACTGACGAGTACAGATAGCAGTATCTCGAGCTTGCTTCCTGCGATCCTATTTCCTACCTTGCATATATGCCTCAAGACGGGGTCAGTGTCGCTCTCGCAGGATCAGCAATCCTTCCTTCCATGCACTTGTACAACAATAACAACAACAATAACACCGAAACCATGCAGCCTTCTCCTGCTGGATGGAATCCCTCAAACGCCCTACAAGCTGCTGTAGAGATATTGGTGTGGTGCCAGCACCGAGAACGCGATCTCACGTCAAGACTAGCCTTTCGCTTCTTGGCCGTCACGGTCACCTCCGGACGACTTGGCTCTCATGCGGCCGGTATGGGCCAGCAGACCCTCGATCCACCAAGTTGGGCTGACGGCGAGCCATAGACAAGCGAGATGCATCCTCACTGCAGCCTTACTGCATGGTCTAGCTGCTCCAGCCAGCCATGGCATCCATGCATCGTCCTATCAGCGATTCTACTAGCAGCGGATCTTACGTCCGGACGCGGCAGGATCTTACCTTATCAAAAGAAATGGCAGCTCATCAGCTGGTGGCATCCTCTCGAAGACGCTATTCAGCCTTCGCGTGCCACTGGACGCCAGTTCGGCCTCAGATGTTACGACGGGGAACTTCTCACATCGCTAGATTCTCGCTGATTGCCATCTCCATGGATGGGACGATTTTGGTTCCAAAAAAGCCTGGCAATGCGGCGAAAAGAGGGTGGGGTGCGCCCTCGCTACAAATTCCAAGAGGTCAAGAAGGATTTTCTGACTTAGCGAAAAGAAGACCGTGCAAGCGTGGAGCTTAACGACTTGAGCTTAGCTCTATCGGCAGCTTGAGCGAGTTGGCACGTGGGGTGAGACGCCTCGGCCATCTGGGCGATAGAGCTTACCACTAGTTGGCGCCTTGCAGGCAATTAGTGCATATTTTGCCTTTGGACCCGATGTTCTGGCCGGCCTCTCCGGGCATCCAGAAGCCAGGTCCTGCACAGAAGGACCTTCGTTTCGGCGCAAGCACGCCATTCCCACACGAACGACTATCGCATCCACCTCAAATGCTCGCGATCCAGGCGGTCCCCTGCCACTTGGCATGGGACACCATACGAAGTTATAAACTGCCACATGGGTCCCAGTCTGATGGTTTTCCAATAACATCGCCAGGCATCGTTAGCCCTACGTCCTGTCACCTGACTTTGACCATCATTGGCCGTATCACTCACCATGGCTTCTTCTCCACCATACGATGAAGAGTTCAAGACTGATCCGAAGATCAACGTTGTCGACGACTTAGAGTCCGGCTCCGAGAATGTCGACACAAGACGAGGCTCGATTGTCATCATCCAGGAGCTGGTGGCAGAGGACCACTCCCATGACATCAAACTCCGGACGATGACCTGGCAGAAGGCTGCTTGGTTGCTTTGCGGCGAGCAGGTCTGTCTCGCCATCATGGCTCAGACCTGGTCTCTCTCTGTCCTCGGCTGGGTCCCTGGTATCATTACCATGCTGGTCGCAGGGACACTCTTCTACATCACCTCCTTGACCATGCACAAATTCATCATGAAGCATCCGCAAATCATGGACATCTGCGACTTTGGATACTACGCCTTCGGCAAGAGCAAGATCGCATACCACTTCACCGCCTTTATGCTGCTCGCCAACAACATCATGCTGATCGGCTTCCACGTCCTTACTGGCGCCAAGATCCTGAACACCCTGTCCGACCACTCGCTCTGCACGACCGTCTTTTCCGTCATCACGATGCTTATTGGCATTATCATGTCCATGCCACGAACGCTCAAGCATGTCTCTTTCATGAGTATGTTCTCCGCTGCCGCCATGGGCCTCTCCGTCCTCCTCTTCTTGGTGTTTGTCGGCATCGAGGACCACCCTTCCTATGGATACTATGGCGAGTACCCAGAAGACACAGTCATCAACAGCGGCAAGGTCGGCACCTACGTCTTCCCGCTCGAACGTAGTGCTGGATTCGTCGCTTGCATGAATGCCGTCCTCAACATCACCTTCATTTGGGTCCCCCAGATCTTGTTCCCGACTTTCGTAAGTACTATCGACCCTCCGATATGTTAGAAGACCTCTGCTGACCTCCTTCGCGATCTCTGAGATGATTCGGCCCCAAGATTTCCCTAAATCTCTCGCCGTTGTGACCGTCGTTTCCGGCTTCCTCTTCGTGGTCCCACCAGCGATCGGCTTCCACTACCTTGGCCAGTACTCCACGGCACCAGCATTCGGATCCCTGGGCGTCGAGACGTACAAGAAGGCTTCTTTCGCTTTCGTCATCGTTCCAACAATCGTCATTGGTGTCATCTACGCAAACGTCTCCGCCAAATTCATCTACGGCAAGGTTTTGCGCGGATCACATCACCAGCATTCGAACACCGTCATCGGCTGGAGCGTCTGGGCTGCGGTCATGGCCGTCATCTGGTTCATCGGCTTCCTCTTCGCTGAAGTCATCCCCAGCATGGGCGACTTCCTCTCCCTGCTCGGCGCCGTCTTCGACTCTTTCTTCGGCTTTATTTTCTTCGCTGTCGCCTACTACCACCTCTACAAGGGCCAGTGGTGGAACGGGGCCTTCCGATCGATCATGACCGTTGTCCACATCATCGTCATGTTCGTTGGTCTGTTCTTGCTGGGTCCGGGTCTATACGCCGCGGTGTCGCAGATTATTATCGATTATGCGTACTCCTATTCGGCGTTCAGCTGTGCCGATCTATCGATCTAAGCGGCGAGAGCCGGGTGTCGGTTGAGATGGCGTTCGAGGGCTGTAGTTATGATATCCAAAGCACTTGTGTAAAGTTACGAAGAGTACGACCCTGCAAAGAGATTCACATTAAGCACCTAAAGAACTGTGCAAGCTCCCTCAGCATTGTCAACAGCTTGAAGATCGTATCTAGCACACACTTGCATCTCCTCTCGATGCTGGCCCACGAGTTCAAGCTGCAATATCTCGCGCTAGAGAATGGACTTCGGCGTTGTCGAGGACAATCGGGGACTGTCTCGCAGAGACCGAGTAGGTCATGACAGCTGCGCTGGCTGCCCCAAGCTCGCTCAAGGAGTGTTCGAGGACCTGCCTCGGTGAGGTGTGGTCGAATTGTGCATCTCCACCTGCGAAGCGTCAGCTATGGCTCCCGACGGCCAGTCGACGACTTCAAGATATGAATGCGGCTCGGAGAAGTGTCACCGGCAGCATGGCATACACTTAAAGTCGACCAAGGGGCAGCTCGAGGTCGCGAGAACAAATCGCTAGCATTCATTCGAGTGCTATCGAACCCACGTCGAGGTGAGTACGCCCGAACTCAAGATCTCGCAAGAAGCATACTCTTTTCCCCTTGACTGCGCTTGGCAGTTCCTTGGGAAGGGTTGCGGCCTGCATGATGATACACTGACGGCTCAATGATTGACGAGGACGACCTAGTGCGAAACTTGGACCTTCAAGCAGGACGACTTGAGACGCAAGTGCAGAGATTGGACATGCTCGATAACCACGAGTATCCACGAGGACAGATTGGTGAAGGTGCAGAAGGAAGGATTCCTGTTCTCCGAGAGAACGATATGGTCACGAGATGGGGTATCTGCATCTGAAGAGAACGTTTCGATCTTGGAGAACATGTTAGGCGCCAGCCTCGCAGCCTAGTATTCATCATCGATTGTGAGAGCACTTGTTATTCCAGAGCCAGCTTCTCCCAAATCTCAACAGATGGAAAACTGTCACAACCGCTCGATCGCCATCTCAGCGTGCTTGTGCCCTGGAGATGAGCACCGGTGTGTGGCAAGATGGTGAAACTTAAGACCATCATCTAAAGTCATCCGGCATGGAGGAGGTTCAGCCGAGTAGTCGTCTCGTAGGGCGAAAGAGTTCTGATGGTCATGTGCTGACTGTTCTGACCCTGGAGAACACGCTATGATGAGCGAGAACGACCTAGGTCAACTGCGATTTTGATCTTGGTTCCATGACCCTTCTCTCTAGCCAGCCTGCAGCAATACTGCAGTTGTATCACCGATGGTGGCTGGAAGTGGGTGCGGCTGCCTTTCTCCAAGACGGACAGGGGTTCAAATACCACCAAGCTCTCGGTCCACCGCTCTCCTCCATTGGGAGAGCGCGTAAGTAAGTACACATGATTCTCGAAAGGTTCAGCGATAACTCAGCTTTCATGCTATTCCACTTCCTTCTATGGCCTCGTCTCGACCCGGACGTCCTGAGCCCCGTCCGACCTCATGCAATCATGATTTCATAAGATGCTTTTCCTTCAAACAACCTCCATGGACCCTCATCTCATCTTGGAAACACTCAAAGATGGCTCTTCAGGATCTGCCCGCCCTCGAACGTCTCGCCGGGCTCCAGCTTCTGCCACCCATCCACCGCACCCACCTCTACACACACCATATTCTTGTACCCATCCTTGGGCTCGAAGTCACCCATCCCCTTCGCCTTCTCGATCCACGGGTTCCACACCACGCTGTCCACGAGGCGATCTCGCTGGACATCGAGCCGCGACTTGCCGTCCTGCACGATAGAGGTGGTGTCCTGCTTGATGGACTTGTAGACGCGGTCGACTTCGCCGGTGATGCGGAGCTCGGGGGTAGATTGCTGGTGCTCTTTGGCGTCAAGGACTTTGTCGATGTAGGTGGTGCTGCCGAGGCCGTTGACGGAGCAGCGTGTGACGTCCTGTAAACCTACGTTAGTCACAGCACAGCTTTACATGAAGGTTGTGGTGTTGCTTACATCCACTCTGAAGTAGCTATGCAGCAGCATCTGGAACTCAAACATCTCCTTGCCTTGGTTCGTGACATTGAGCATTGTCTGTAGCCCGTCCTTGCCCAAAGTCACTGAGTAGACCAGTCCAAACGCATATGGCCACTGCTTCTTCGCCTCTTCGCTGAGCTGCGCGTGCGAGAGCCCAAAGTCAAGCTTGATCGAGTCATCACCTCCTCTTGCTAGTGACCCAGACTCAGACGACGAAGAGCCCAGGTACTCCCAGTTCGAGTTTCGTCCGAAGCCGTGTTGAGGAAGCTTTCCCGTAGCGTGGTCCTTTGGAGGCGGGCCAAAGCACTGTGTTGATTAGCGGAGAGCACACTCGCAGCCTCTTGACAATGCAACATACCGGAAACACCACAGGTATCCCTCCCCTCACCGGCTTGCTACCATCCAGCTTCGCGGCCTCGCTCACCCACAAGTTCTCCTTGCCATTGCTCTTCCAGCTCACGACCGTCGCGCCGTATAGCAGCACATCAACCGAGTCGCCGGTAGGAAGACGTGCATTTGCTCGCCCGTTCTCTACACGCACGCTGGGCTGTGGGCCTGTGCCCGATGCCGTTATTGGGGACGGCTTATTCGAGCGGTCCATGGTCGCTGCCGTGAATAACTTGGTCGGTGTGGAGTATGAAGGCGCGGTGGTTCAGTATCACACTGTGAAAGTGGTTGTTGTGAGGTAGTGGGCTGTATTCCAAAATTCTGGAAGACAGAGATGGTATGAAGTCACTGCTGCACCGATCTGCAAGACGAGTTTCAGATATCACTCAACACGGAAGCGATCGGCTTCTCGTGAAACGCAGTATCGTCCGTCGCCGTCACGAGCACATCTAGAAGTTCTCCGAGTGGTGAACGAGCCTAAGCGATGAGATTCATTACGACAAAGATCGAGAACATCTCGCAACTAGGAGATGAAGCTGATGCTGTGGGACACTCTCAAATTGCGATCTCTATCAGAGCCGCTATGTCCTACAACAAAAGCACTTCCTTCCTTCCTATACACAATCTCTACGCCTCCCTCCCTCGCCTCGCAGCCTCGTGCGTCTCCCTCCTCAGCTCAAACAACACATCATCAAACTCCTTCTCCTCCTGCGAGCCCATGAGCATGCCCTTAAAATCGCTTAGAACATTTCGCAGACGACCGAGAATGCTGCGAGGTGTAAGAATTGGACGCTCTGGAGATGCAGCGGCCTCGCCTAGCTGGCTTGCGATTTGCAGCTCATCTGCATCCGTCTGACCGTTGTCCTGCTCCAGGCTGAGCTGCGAACCTTCGGACCGGTGAACGACGACGGCTTTAGCCTTGCGTGTTGTGATGCCGTTGCTTTGAGAGGTCTGGGTAGCCTGCGATGACTCGCGGTGCCTGGTGTCCTGTCCGCCTTGATGCTTCGCCGCTTTGGCAGGCGCCGGCGTGTTCTTGACGAAGCTGGCAGAGGGCTGGCTGGATTCAATGCTCGCATTGCTGATAGTTGACGCTCTTCGCTTCAGCGATCGAGCGATTCCAGACACCGGTAAGCTGGGAGTAGGCGTAGGCGTCTTTGACTGAGACTTCCTTGGCCTTCCACGTCCCCGCTTTGGAGGCGGTTGCATCGTCCCTGCCTCCTCTTGGGCTGGTTCACCAACTGGCTGAGATGGCTCTTCGACAGGCTCCTCCTGGGAGACTGCGGATTCCTCCGCTTTGGTCGGCTCAGGTGATTGCACTCTTTGGCTACTGGCCACGACAATCTCCTCCTCCAAGTCATCGTCATCTTGTTGCGTGCCGCCCACAAAGCTTGACCAAATCCGCTTAAGAGGTGATTGCTGCTTGCGAGCCTTCTTCGCAGTGTAGACGACGCCTCCAGAGCGCCTGCGTTTCCTGCTGCTCTTCTGGCTCGATTGGCTTTGACTGGCTTCAGTCGCTTGCGAGGCTGTCTCGTCGTTTTGCTCCTCATGCTCGATGAATGAGTTCTCGACTCGACTGATGTCTACGTCCTGTGGCCTATCCTTAACAACGTCGGCGGTCTCGGCCAGGGCTTCCTGGTCCGCACGAGCTGGGTCTGCCTGAGAGTCAACAGGAGCTTCATCATCAGCTTCGCTGCGAGAGGCTGCCACATCAACCACCTCACGCCGGGCAGCTTCTTCCGCCTCCAGCTGAAGCTGCTCTTCCGGAAGGTGTGAGTCAGATGGAAACTCCGATGCAGACACCATGTCTTCTGTTGGCGGTTCCTCATCCACCTCGGTAGTATCGTCTAGGATAGCTTTGTCGACCAGAGCGGCAGCCTCTGGCAGTTCAATGTTGTCCTGGTCTATGGTCGTATCGACGAAGACCTCCTCTTGCGGCGGAAGGTCCCGATCACCATCTAGGTCGATTTGCTTCCTGGTATCATCCGCTACTTGCGGTGGAGAAGATGGTGGCTCTTCCTCCAACGTGTCTTCTGCATCATCGTCGTCATTCGCTTCAGCAGGACCTTGGCTGGCAGCCCTTGTGGATGACGGCGTTGGTGAGGAGGGGATATCGTCACTCGGCAAGACATTACCATCAGGCAGACCAGTAGGCGTTCCCGCTGCGTCGCCTTCCGTAAAATCTCGATGAGCAGTGAAGTTGAGCTGTCTCGGAACGTGTTTCGGCAAAGCAGTAGATTGAGCCACCGGGCTCGACGACAAGTCCGGGAACAGTTGAGCGTTCTGTAGTTGGCGCGCCTTGACCTCTTTCTGATGCTCTGTCAAGACTTGCGACTCGTGGGCGGGCTGGAATGGTGACGACCACTCAATGGGAGCGAACTGGACCTGGGAGTCATTGTGCCGCAAGCGGGCTTTTGGAGTGGAGCTTCCTGTTCTGGGTGCACGCTTCGTGGATGGGCTGGCGTTGTTGGCTATCGAGCCAGGGAGTGGTGAGCTTCTGGAAATAAACAGTGATCTCTGGAAGACAGGCCGTGGTGACCTTTGCGCAGCCGCAACCGAGCTACAAGTGGTGCTGAGGTCCTGCAAGCCCAAGGGCGCGCCAGGTAGCTGGCTCTGCGTTTCGAAGAACTCCGGCAATGACGCCTCCACTCTGTCTTCGCCGCTCTCAGGGAAGCCGGGCAGATCGATTTCAGCGTCGACTAGGCGAGCCCTCAGCACAGCCTCGAGCTTTAGAGGGTATGCCAACGATTGCTGGCTCCCGAACGTCTCGTTCCAGAACAAGATGGTCTCATTCACGATGCTTCGATGCGGGCTTGCAAAGCCGGCGGCCAAAAGAGGCTCGAGGGCTTTGAGAACATTGCTGTCTTTCGAAGGTAGTGTTCGTAGTAGCAGGATCACGCTCGACCATGTATTGCAAACCTAGAAACGCTGTTAGCTTGATGCAACTATTACAGGGGCAGTAATGTTAAGCTTGCCTGCATCGATGTGGCCTGGGTACTCGATGTCTTCATGGCTTTGGCTTCTACCCAGACCACAAAGCCGTCCTGGACTTTACGAAGGGCGGTTGGCAGAAGCGAGACGGGTGCCTTTTGCAGGAAGCAGATGACCGAGGTGACAAAGTCGGATGATACGTCCAGAATCGAGTCTGCGTTTTCCTCAAACTGGTTGTAAGTGACGGTCATCAGGTCAACTATCAGGCTGTACACCTTGTCGAAGGGATCAAACAGTGATGCTTTCTGTAGAGGCAGCCCAGCGCCCCACAGCGCCTTCCGTGATTGTTCCATAGCTTGCCTCGTCCTTGGCCAGGCCGGCTCGCGAAGCATGTGCGTTGTGATCTGCAGCTTTGCCTGGATGTTGTTGTGGTCGACGTTGTCGTCCAGTATAGCCTTCGCGAGTGGTTCCATCACAGCAATCACGACGCCTCCATCACCTGCTTCACTTTTTGCCGTGCGAAGAAGGGCGTTGTACAGATTGGCCAGACTTGGCTGTAGTTTCTGGCTACCTTCAATGTGCAGTCCGGTCGTAAGGATTTCCAAGGCATTGCGGATGGCGTAGGCTGCATGCTGCGACTCCTGGCCTCCAGGAGACTTGACGTCCGGTTGCAGGGCGTCAGTGCTAACATCGGCTACCACCATCCACAGGTCGGCGATCGTCGTAGGATCGGCTTGGACCTGGGGGTCTTCCACCCACGAGTACAAGGAACGCCGCAGGAACTCAACCTTGGCCGATGGGCCGGCTCTAGCAGTTACGAACCGTTGGAGTAGAGAGCCGAAGCATGCGCGGAATGCATCATTCGACATCACTCCTGCCGGTCGATGGTAGTATTGACCGAGAAGGATGACCATTGGAGACACAGGCGCGCTCTGGTGTTTCGGTAGTCTTTGCGAAGGGGTAGGCGCGACCTCAATGCCGTTGGTATCTGTCTTGGCCAGAATGTCTTCGACGAGCGGCGCTGAGCCAAGCTGCTCAGCCATGGTCGCTACAACAGAGGTATAAAGCTCAATCCAGCCCTGGAAGTCAGAACCCTGGACCGATCCTGCTTGGCCCTGCCAGATACGCCGGAGCATGCTGACAAGCAGCGCAATGGCTTCCTTGAGCTCGCTAGTGGTTTTCACTTCCTGGGCGCCCGCTTGCGCTGTGCAGTGCATCAGCACCTTCCATACCGCATCGAACGCTTCATGTGGATGCTCAGGCCTCTTCAAAGTTGCTTCGAGAATGGTTTCAACCAGTCGCAGGACCTTGCCAATACGCGATCGTACCCACCGCGGCTGCAGCATCGGAAGTTCTTCGACCTTAATGGGGTCAGAGCCAAGAGCAGCTATGGCATTCCACTCACCAGACAGTGGATTTGGACTGAGTAGGCCGTGCAGGATGCGGCTTGCATCGTTTCGACTCTTTGAGTCCAACTTGATCATTGTCGAGAGAATTGGCTCGACCAAGACCTCCCAAGCAGCGTCGTACTCCTCCAAGGACAGACCAGGGCGAAGACCGTAGTGGAGGAGGTTGTAGTAGCAGTCAAGCATGCAACGTTTCGACTCTGCCCCGAAGCTACCCTTCACACGTCTGTTGAGGGCCGAGGAGATGGGGATCTGCAGCATTGAGAGGAAGTTTCTCGAGGTGGATGCATCAGGCATAGTTGCAAAGACCAGCTTGTTCCAAGCAAGAGTAGCCTCCCGACGAGTGTCGATGTCGCTGGAGTTGAAGCAGTCCTGTATGATGCTCAGCCAGCAGGCTTTGAATTTTGGCCACCTCTCCAACGGCTTTCGCTTGCTCCGGTAGAAGAGAACAACAGCCGCCCATATCTTTGGAGCGTACTTTCCGTTTTCTTTCGAATGTACCATCTCACTCAAGCGCCTACTGAGGTACAGCAGATAATTTTCGCCTTCTTCATCATCACTCCGAAGGAGGTCCTCCAGGGCCTTTGCTGCGTTCGGAGAAGTGCCCAGCCGAAGGCCTCCGGTCGTGCATGTCTCAATAGCTCGCTTCCGTGTATCGTCGATGCTACTCAGCATTCCATGAAAGACATGAGGGAGCCAATCGGATATGCGGCTGAGCATCACGTTCGGTGCTTGTTCCAGCAAGCGGTTGTAGGTGAGTAGCCGGCCAGTGACGATCCCATTGCCCGTGCAACGCTCTTCCACGGTCTGGAGAGCGCTCAACAGCTTCTCCGCCTTTCCTGGGGTCATGAGCGAAGAGTGGAATTGCTGAATACCCATCAAATGAGCATGCGTCTTCATGATCGGCTTTGGCATGCCCGGCTGCTCCAACACTACGATAGACCGGTCGATGAGGAAGGTTCGGAAGTCGTCGTCGAGAGCGCCGCTTAAGCTCGAGTTGGCCAAGATGGTGCCTGTGAGGTAGAGTGCTTGAGAGATTATGCCCTTGTCCAGCTTGCCGTCCATCGTTTTCCACGCCATATCGCGAGCGATGAATTGCATCACAGTATCCATCTTCTGCTGCATAGCAGAGACGTCTGGCGGGTCCTTGTAGACCTTGAATGCACCGAGGAGCGCCTGGTAGGAGTCCAACCTAGCCGACCTCGAAGGGCCAGCAAGCTGCTGAAGAACTGACTGCAACATTTTGTTGAAGCTTCCGGGAACTGTTGGTGAGAAGTAACTGGGCTTCGATTCAAGGTCGTCCGGGGTTGGTGGCGGAGCGTGAGATCGCTTCAAGATAGATTTCACAGGCTTCGCATTCCTTGATGGCGACCACTTGAGGAGCTGTGCGTGCGGTGAGCTCGCCTGGCCGACGGGCGCTATGCTGTGATAGCGTGGGTGTGGTGAGAAGTCGACACGACGCGAGCCTGGAGGCACTGCCGCATTCTCTTGTGACGATGATGGCGTGGCACAGGCAGAGTCATCGCTGGGTCTTCGCGTGGTGGCAGTGTGTATGACTGGACCAGTGCTCAAATGCTCGATTTCGTTGCTGTCGTCTAGAAACTTGATGGCATCGTCGACTGCCTTGGAAATGTCTCGTGGTGGAGTCGGCGGCTGTTCTGTCATGGAAAGGAACCTAGAATTCCCAGCGGACAGCATCGTCTATCATACAGCTAGAGAACAGCCTTCAGTACTCTAGGACAAAGTTGCATTGCGTGGACAGAAAAGAACCACGACCTCGCTTGAAGCGTGAGGTCCAGAGACGCGCCTGAACGCGAGAGACGTGATTCAATCTAGAGTTTCTCCGGCCGGGCCGATTCGCGTGGCCTGATCAACCCGAAAAGTGTTTGCGGGGAAGCGACGCTCTAGACTACAGTACATACATCTGATATTCTATGCCATCGTCAGAATACCCTCATCTAACTGCAGCGCGAGCCCACCGCAATAGCGTACTGCTTTCGCCGACAACATCTGAGGCTTGCGCAAGTCGTCGCCAGAACAGTACTTTCATGCGATGCTTGCCTTCTCAAGGACCGCAGCGCCCACGCAAGGTACAGGTATCGATGTTGTACAATCTTTGAAGCACCATAGCATGATCTGATTGATGGAACAGGCACGAAAGACATCGACAGGCTGCTTTCAGAGCTAGAGGAGAATCTCGAAAGCGCGAAGCTCTCTTTCAAACGTATGCATGGGTGGCTGCGTAAGGGATGACGTGCAGTACTGACGGTAGTGTAGAGCTAGAGAGTCTCCTTGTCGATGTCAAAGTATGCGGCCGCGATGCAAGCACCGCTGGTCCCATCTTCTCGAAACGCGTGAGGCCAGAAAGAAACCTCCTATCCATGATCGCAGCTGACTCCGCGACGCAGGGTATCTCCATCATCTCGAGATATGGCCTGGATGTGACCGACACAAAGGCTCTACCTGGATCTAGAGAAGCTCTAAGATGCCTTGCAAATGCCTTCCTGCTACACGAGCCAAGCCGGCAGACATTCGTCGATATCGGCTACGCCCCCAAAGCTGCCGAAAGACTCAAGGTCGATGACCGCGACGATGAGTTCGTGATATCTAGAATGCTGTTTCTCCTAACATATAACACCAAAGTCGACTTTGACGAGTTGGTTGACCAGAATCAGCTGGATGAAAGCATCAACCAGAACATCGCCGGCCACGCTAAAGCGTTTTCTACTAAGAGTGGCAGACGCAAGTCAGAAAGCTCGCCTATGGTGGGCATGTCGCTGGTGGAGACGCTGAAACTCATGTTCAACATTACCTACTACTACCCCGATCTGGTGCAGAAGTTCAGCCCTTCCATCGAGCCACTGGTCCGGCTGGTCATAAATCATCCTCTCCCAACTCCGCCGCTTCAATCACCGATCACTTATATGCTCAACGCTCTGCTGAACCTGGATCTCGGCTCATCAGAGAAGAAAACGACCTTCGGACCGGAGACGCGATCAAGCCCACTCTTTCCGTATTCCAGCCCGGAAGAAGTGGTCGACAAGCTCACATCGATCTTTAACAAAGCGATCATGACCATGCCCGAGAGCGAGCTGGACCAGGCAGCTGCACCGCTTTGTACTCTCATTAGACGTCTATACGAACTGGCGCAGCCACAGATGAAAGAGTGGATGCGCTGGATCATGCTCCCTCGAGAGCGAGACCGCGACAAGCCTCTCGGCACAGGAGACACGATGGCCGCCCGCTTACTGAGACTTTCCTGCTCGCCCGCACTTCCCACGCTACGAGAGAACATCTCCAGCCTGCTCTTCGAACTTAGCGACAAAGACGCAAACAAGTTCGTCAAGAACATCGGCTACGGCTTCGCATCCGGCTTCCTGATGAGCCATAACATTGAAGTACCTGCCACTGCAGCCGAAGCGGGCAGTATATCAAGCGATGGAGACGCTGACAGTGGTATTGGCTACAATCCTGTCACTGGGCAGAGACTGAGCGCCGAGGAGGCGGACAAGGCCAACAAGGAGAGGCAGGAGATGAGCCCTGAGGAGAAGGAGAGAGAGGCAGAGCGTTTGTTTGTGCTGTTTGAGAGGCTGAAAGCTACTGGTGTGGTGGATGTTAAGAATCCGGTGCAGCAGGCGGTGGATGAGGGGCGGTTTGAGGAGTTGGAGTAGGCTTTACGAGGTGCTTTGGCTTGACTGTCTCGAGTATGCGTTCATTGTAGCAAGCTAAAAGGATCGCAAAGAACTGATATCGATTCGATCGAAGCTTGTACTGGATGAACTCGAGCTGCTGCTGCACAAGCTCTTGGAATGAGCCGAGGCGACCTCCGCCCCTCACGATGCTCAGCCGGGTGTCGTTAGCAGCTGCATGTGAAACCGACGATATATGGCCTACATTGAACCACAGGTAGTTCAATTTCGAAATTATGCATGATCAGCAAAGTTCCTAAGACCCTCCGATCTATTCACAGAAGTTGTTCGATGATCGATATCCCACAATGAAAGCAGCACGCTTCTACGACAACCACGACATCCGCATCGAAGACATTGATACACCCATACCGAACGACGGAGAAATTCTCATCGATGTTGCCTGGGCCGGAATCTGCGGCACTGATCTTCACGAATATTCTGTAGGACCGCTTGTAATACCTAAGCCTGAACGTCCGCACGCATCGACCGGCGACCACCTCCCCATCACCATCGGCCATGAGTTCTGTGGGCACATAGCACAAGCCCCGGACGGTGCGGTCAGCGCGGATGGCACGCCGCTGAAGGCTGGGATGCCTGTGATGTGTGATCCGAGGCTGAACTGCCAGAGCTGCTTCTCTTGCAACGAGGGTAGTACGAATACGTGCCCTAGCTGGGGTTTCTTGGGCTTGAGTGGTGGAGGTGGCGGCGGGTTCTCGGAGCAGGTGGCGGTCAGGCAGTTTATGTGCTATCCTTTGCCTGAAGATATGCAGCTGGATCATGCTGTGTTGATCGAGCCGCTTGCTGTTGCGAGGAGAGCTGTTAAACAGGCTAATGTTCCGGACGAGAAGATCAAGGACATGTCGATCCTGGTTGTTGGTGGTGGGCCAGTTGGGTTCTCGGTCCTGTGCAATTTGAAGGCACTTGGAGCAACGCAGGTGTACGTCTCGGAGCCGACGGCGCTGAGGCAGAAGCAATGTAAAGGCTGGTGCTCGCGGATATTCAATCCAATGCAGGAGAAGGTCGCGGACGAGTGTCGGAAATTGACCGATGGCAAGGGCGTTGATTTGGTGTTCGATTGTGCTGGCATTGAGCCCGGGATGAAGGATGGCTTCGATGCTTTGAGACCCAAAGGCACATACGTCAATGTCGCCGGGTGGGAAGGGCCTTTTACTGTGAGTCTCCTGATCAGGAGTTCGTGTAAACCCGCTAACAAGGACGATAAGATTCCAATGCAGTTCTTCATGATGAAGGAGATCGATATCAGGACTTCGCTGGCCTATGATGATGCAGATTTTGCGGCTGTGGTGAAGGACTTCGTTGCTGGTGAGGCACTAACGGTCCGACAGAGCTCACGGTAACGAATGACTTACTGACCGCTCTCTCGACAGGCAAGTTTGCAGGCGCGGAGAGCATGATCACGGCCAGGATTGGCCTGGAGGATGTTGTAGAGCAAGGATTTGAGGCGTTGGTGAAGCACAAGGACCAGCACTCCAAGATCATAGCAACACCGAAGGCGGAGCTTCTCCCTCGGAAAAGAAGGAACACAGGGAAGACGAACGGTGCGTGATGCCCATAGCAATCAATGTTCTGTAGGAGAACAGGCGTTTAGTCGTCTACCTGTGAGCGCTTGATCGTAGGTATAGTCCAAGGAGATCATGGTTGAGACTAGGGTCCAGTCTAGGATAACACAGATCTCCAGTGGGGTTAACGGATGTCTGCCGAACACCACTGAATGTAGTGAGATGGTGAAAGGTGTATTCAATGTCGAGATCGTTGTCTTGGCATATCTCGGCATACCTTCCGAGATAAACCCCGCCTGACTGCACTGCAGGACTGACTCAATCGCACAAAATTATAGCAAGCCATTGGAAACACACTCGGCGTGTTTCAAGGCCCGCGAACAAACAAGATGTCGACGCAAGAGACAGCAGACACTGTCAAGGACGCAGTCCAGAACGTGGCAGACAAGGTCAAAGATATGACAACCTCAGACAGCCCACAGCCAAACCTTCTCAAGGATGAAGTTACCGGCGAAATGGTCAGCAAGACGGAGTTGAAGAAGAGGCAGAAGCAGCGCGAGAAGGACGCGAAGAAGGCAGAGAAGGAAGCCACCAAGCAACCTCCACCTCAGCCGAAGAGGAAGGCCGCGACACAAGAGGAGGAAGAGGGCAAATTGAATGCGAACGTGAGTCAACAATGAATACCGATCTTTGAGTCAGACGTGGACATATAGGGCCCCTTCTCCGGAAACCCGTCCTCGTCCCCTTCTTCTTCTTCCCAGTGATAGATCAATTCACAAGTGCATGCTAACATGGGCGACCAGCAATACTTCGAGATCCGGTCACGCGCCGTCAAGCGTATGAAGGAAACCAACAGCCCAAACCCATACCCCCACAAGTTCCACGTCACCTACGATCTTCGCAACTTCGAGTCCGAGTATGGACATCTCAAGAAGGGCGACTTGGTTCGCGACCGCACGATCAGCATAGGATGCCGTATCTACAACATCCGACAGTCCGGCGAGAACCTGCGATTCTACGAGGTTGCTGTAGACGGGGCAGAGATCCAGATCATGGCGACGAACTTGGAAAACACCAGCACGATCTCCTTCACCGATCAGCACGATCATCTGCGGCGAGGAGACATCATCGGTGTCACTGGCTTTCCTGGACGCACCAGCCCGAAGAGAGAAGACAATCCTGGCGAGCTCTCAATCTTTGCGCAAGAAGTCAAGCTTCTCGCACCCTGCTTGCATCAAATCCCATCCGAGCATTACGGCTTCAAGGATCAGGAAGAGAGGTACCGCAACCGCCACCTCGACCTTATCATGAACAAGTCGACAGTCGAGACCTTCAAGACGCGCGCACGGATCATCAAGTACATCCGAAACTACTTCGACAACAACGGCTTCTACGAACTCGAGACACCCATCTTGATGAAGAGTGCAGGAGGCGCCACCGCCAAGCCCTTCTACACTGAGCACAACGAGCTGAAGATGACGCTTGCCCTCCGGATCGCCACCGAGCTACCTCTCAAGCAGCTGGTAATTGGCGGCATCCACAAGGTCTACGAGCTTGGTCGGCAATTCCGGAACGAGGGTATTGACTTGACACACAACCCCGAGTTCACTTCATGCGAGTACTACGAAGCCTTCTCAGACGTCTACGATGTTATGGAGCGCACCGAAGAACTCGTAGAAGGCCTCGTCAAGGATGTGACTGGCGGCACAGAGACCTCCTTTACCACACAGACCGGCGAGGTCTACAACGTCAACTGGGCCAAGCCATGGAAGAGGGTGGAGATGATGCCCGCGCTCGAAGAAGCATGCGGCGAGACCTTCCCACCCAGCGACCAGCTGCATACTAATGAGACCAACGACTTCCTCAAGCGCATGCTCAAGAAGACTGGTGTCGAATGCTCACCACCTCTGACTAACGCGCGCATGATCGACAAGCTCGTCGGTGAGTTCATCGAGGAGAAGTGTGTCAACCCCACCTTCATCACCGGTCACCCGCAGATGATGAGTCCACTCGCCAAGTACCACCGGAACAATCCGGGTCTTTGCGAGCGCTTCGAGGCCTTCGTCTGCAAGAAGGAGATCGTCAACGCGTACACCGAGTTGAACGATCCCTTCGACCAGCGTCTCCGATTCGAGGAGCAGGCACGGCAGAAGGCCCAGGGTGACGATGAGGCTCAACCGCTCGACGAGGGATTCTTGACCGCGATGGAGTACGGGCTGCCACCGACTGGCGGTTGGGGCATGGGCATCGATCGGATGGTGATGTTCTTGACGAACCACTACAGCATCAAGGAGGTCTTGACGTTCCCATTCATGAAGGATGAGCAGCAGGCGCCAAGGCCGAAGGCTGCGGAGGTCGCTGGTGTTGAGCCGATGCCGGTGGAGGATGCTCATAAGTGAGGATACCATCAACTTTAGACTGTTTATGACATCTTGCTGACAACACAACAGCCCGTAGGTGACCGGTCCTCATGTACGCAGCGCCAGAATCTTGTGCCAATGTTGCGTAATGGAGGATGGATTCCTCGCGTCGTGTCGCAGGCTGCGCAAACAATCCCAACATCAACGAAGATGATACAGAGTCTGCTGCTTGCTACCGCGTGATGTTGTCGAGATGATGGAGGACACGGAGAAGTGATTGTACGGCCGCGAACAGTAGACTAGCGATAGGTACTGCACTTTCAACGGGGCTACTACACAGTACTCTTCAATATTCTCTTGATTGTATCCGCAGCTGCGAAGTATCTATCGCTACTATCTTCGCAGCCCACTCATTCCCAGCAATTGGCCGTGAAACCCCCTCCCTCGTCGCTACGTACAGTATGTCGCGATCTTTCGACCTCCTGCCAAACGCAACAGCTGTCGCTGCGCCTATTGCGTTATTCCCGCTAAGCTCTACTGGTATCTGCGCTTGACTCTTCTCATCAACACTCAATATGCCGTGGGAGATGCTCGCCGCGAGCCAAATGGTGCCTTCGCGGTCGATGGCGAAGTCATTCACCTCGACATTCCCCGGCGTCCGACGCACGATCTCTTCTGCCGGCGCAGCAGCTTTGCCGGCCTCCTCGCCGTGGACGTTGAGCGATATGCGGCCGAGTGAAGGATCGCCGAAGGTTCGTGTAAAGTAGAGGTACCACTTGTCTTCAGTTCCAGACCTTTCTCGTGACGGAGTTAAGTTACGAACAGCAATGCTCGAGACGCCCAACCAGACGGGCGCATACTCTGTCGGTTCCAAGAGCGCGTCTGTAGGGATGACAGTACGCTCGCCGGTCCAGACATCGATGCGATATACCATTCCAGTCGATGCGTCTGCGACGACGACCGCCTCGGTCTTCGACGGGAGGGCAGCGATGCCTGTTGGACTGCGTAGCTCCGGCACATCCGCGACTTTGGTGATATTGGCTGCGTCGTGCTTGTGAGGGCTCGTGTTGATGGTCCACATGCTCCACTGTCGACCGCTCCAGTCAGTCCACACCTCTTCGACATGAAAGGTGACGGCAGCAACTCACCGACCCTCGCTCGCCCAGCCTCTCGACAGACCAGTTGCCGGCTGTCACAACGAAGACATCGTCTTTCAGCTCTGCAATCCCGGAGGCAGATGTCGTGCCTTCAAATCGGTGAACCAACTTCGCAATGTTACCTTCTGGTCCAACTAACCAGACTTCTGGCGCTGAAGCAAAGGTGACGAGTAGTTGCCCATCATGATCGACGGCAATGTCGTTGATCCACGTCCCCGGTGGGAACTGCTGGACGATGCGCACGAGGGGTCTGTCGATGCCGAGCAACAGTTGTACCTTTTGGGGGATCTTGATCTCGGCGAAACGAGTTCCAAGAAACAGTAGAAAGGCCAATGCCAAGGCAGCTCGCAGCATGGTTGTCAATTGTACGTTGCGCAATGGCATGTTGGATGTTGAGAAGCTGTGGACGATACTTTGTCGAGCCTAGGGAAGGAGAGGGTCATATTGGAGGGCAATACGAGAGGACGACGTGGACGACTACGCCGTGACATATCCCGCGAATAGGTACATCGCCTTGACGAGTGTCTGCATACTTCTGCGTGTATCAGCCTCAAGACCAGAGGCCCGATTGGGTTGGGGGAACGCGCCAAGCTTATGGCTTGGTCGATTGCTTCATGGGTTTTATTCTGTTGCCTGGCAAGAAGGCAAACAACCAGTGAAAGGTCAGAGTTTTGAGGACTGAGCTTATAATCACGTTTGTCAGTGCTTTGATCCCTGATGTGTGCCGCTGTGCACTGCAGGATACCTTGCCGAGTCCCGTAATCGTCGGAGCAAGTCACAATTGGAGTAGGTCGTCGGAGCCATATCATGAGCATTTCGACAACCAAGCGTAAGCACGTGTCAGTGAAAGCGGATCACTGTGTAGATGCGGTTGATGGGAGTATTTTCCCAGCTCCAACCGAATCCGACGCGACCACATTACTCTCGTTGGTTGGTTGCCATTCTCTGTGATAAAGATCCATTGTAAGGCGTCCTACCCGGACCGGTGTGGGTGCCGAAAGCTTGGTGTTCTAACGCATCTCGTGTCAGGCCGTCAACAGTAACTTGGCGTACGAGCAATCGCAGTTACCGACGGAAGTCATTCACCATATCCGCTTCGCAACCATACCATACCGCTGCACGCCATCCAACTTCATCTCGCCCTTCTCCGCCTTCTTCCTCCCTCTCTCCTCGCGCTCCCGCAGATCTCGCAAAGCGTCCGGATCGTCCTCGTAGATCCAGCGTCGCTTGTCCTCGTTGACTTCCACAACGCCCCAGCCGCCGACCCGCTTGCCGTGTGTGTCCACGATTTGGTGCTCGCGCTCTTTCATGCCTTTGTACCGTTTGCGGGCGAAAGATAAGAGGGCCATGCCCAGAACGAGCTTGAGAGCCAAGAGGACGAGGTAGAGCGCAAGGAAGAAGATCGCCATGGTCGCAAAGGCGATGATGTCGTCTAGGCTCCACCAGGAGAAGGCGGACGAGGCAGCATCACCGCCGGCACCAAATGAGGAACGTCCAAGAGCACGGCGAAAGATGTGGTCCACGTGCTGGAGTGCGGCGGTCGTAGAAGGCGAGTTCGCTGCAGCGTCTGATTCGAATGAGATACTGGTAGCGCTCGATGGGACAGGCAGCGGCATGTGAGTTGCAAGAAACATGTGATAGGTCTGCATACACGCGCGGATGAAGAGGCAGCTGAGCGGAATGACTGGCAGCCCGAGTCGCTTGGTAAGATTCTGGTCAGCGAAAGCGTGCGAGTAGTAATCCTTGGCCAGGACGTCTAGGAAGCGGCCGTAGATGTTCGGCTTGACGTTGTTGAACTTCGAGATGTAGGCGTGCTTGCACCAGTCGACCAGTGCTTCGCTGCCCAGGACGATCAAAAATGGCCCAAGCAGCTCGCCGGTCCACTTCGGCATCAGCGTAAAGGCTTTCGGAATCACGAATCCAGATGTCAGTGGGATGCCGGTTGCATTGGGCGCCATATTATCGGTTGGCGACGCAGCGCCGCTAAAGGCAGTGTTAAGGCTGATGCTGAGGCCGCCAACCTCCACGATATTCCTCAAAGCAATGATCAGAAGCATGAGCCAGAGCTGGAACCGCTCGACAACGTCGGCGCAGGTAAGTTGGAACAGATTCTCCTTCTCAAACTTCTTGAACACTGTGCCCTTGATCTCCACAAACTGATTGCTCATCAGGAGGGTGAGTAGAGCGTTCGAGTACGAGTTGACGGCCACATTGAGCGTCACCACCTGGTAGAAGAGGGCTGTCGCGTGAATGACATTGTAGACCAGGGCGAGCATGAACATCCAGAGTGGCCGTATGATCTTGCTGCGCCCGTTCTCGTTACGCTCCAGTGTCTCTCTGCTGAACAGGCATTCGAGCACGTCTTGTCCCAGAGCTGAGAATAGGCGGTCGAAAACTTCGAGCACGTTGTATATCACGTAGAGCTTAATGGCCGCCTGGCCACGAATGCTGTGGTACATGCGGCTGGCATCGAACCACATCAGGATTGTGCAGCTTGCCGCTATGAGCAACCCCTGCAGTATGTCGGCTTTGTGGTTTGGCAGCAGAAGCGATGGCGTGGACCTTGTACGTCGATGCCGAATCTTGGCGTCCGTCTTGCGCTTCCTCTCCGACTGAACAGGGAAGGCGGGCCCATTCGGCCGAGGCGTGCTATCAGCGGCTGCATCGGTCACAGATGGTCGTCGAGAGTGGTCACTAGCAGCAATCGAAGGACGCCGTGAGCTCGCGACGGAGCTCTGCCTTCGCCGCTGCCAGACTCTCCCAACACCGGAGTACACGAATGTACCCAGATCATGCACCTCCCTGGCCACATTCTGTGCGACCCACTGGCCCAGTATCGCTACAGCTTTCAGAAATCGTAATGGCAGGATCGTGAAGGTGTAGAGCCAGGCGTCCAAGCATGCTATAGCTCCGAACCATAGGACCTGCTCCAGAATTGGCGGCAACAGCAGGAAGTTCAGCAGACGCTCAAACTTGATCTTGGCAGATTCGTATGGGAAGTCACTGGTCGCTGATCTATGGATGTACAACGCTGAAGGTCGGTCGGAGGCCAGCTCCAGCTGCAGATATGTTGGAAATGACAGAGGAGGCACGGGGATGAAGGAGGGCATTGGAGATGCCTGGGCTTCCTTGGAGGTCAGCACTTTGAGGTTGCCATTGGGTGGTCCAGTACTTTCGTCGTCGAATTTCAACGCTAGAGTCGGTGGCTTCGCCTTCGACGTTCGTGATGCTGATTGCTTCCTGTGGATCAACGGAGAAGAGGCTGAGCGGACGGCTTTCGGTGGACGGGCGGTGGTGACGGCGCCTGGGGTTGCCGTTATGCTCCCCAATTTCGGCAGGGTTGGAGATGCGTCCACACTACCATACTGATCAGATGTCTCCGTGGCGCTGTCGGTAGACTTTGATATGCCATTCAAGCCCAGCCCAAGCCCGTGCTCTGAACCTGTACCATTCACTGGACTCGTGCCGTTCAGCACCGGCACATCTTCCACCGGATTCTTCAAGGCTCTCACGGGCAGGTTGTCGGGTGACTGCACAAGATCGTGGAGTTGTGTTGGCGAGAGCTTCGCAGTCTTTGGCGAACTGGCGCTGCTACGCCTGCTGTCCCGGTGTTTGAAGCCATTCGTCTGTACAGATATCGCGTTGTCCTCTGTCTCCTTCTTTCCGTTCGCGACTACTTCTTCTGTGCTTCCATCTATCTCGTAGTTCGGAAATGGCTGAGTCCCGCGATCTCCATGCTCGCTGATTGGACTCAAAGTGGGAGTCGCGAGCTGCTGACCGGCAGAAGGGATTTGAAGGTTCTCATCGTCCTCGTTCGTCGTGGGCATGTCGGACATGATATCTCGCCAGTGTCCAGACCATGTTGTCAGCCTTGATATGCTGCAGTCGTCCAAGAGTACTAAGGCGAGGCATGCAAAGTAGAGTCCAGCTGGAGTTCACTTCCATCCTTCGGCTGATCTGCGGCTCTTCACATGCGTCACCTCGGAGGTGCCTGTTTGGCAGCAGGCACATATATCCTCCGTCTGAGACCCTTTCTTCCTCGCAACACGTAGATCCGTTCTAGAAGAAGATGTCAGGATACGAGGGTAACTCATCCCCTTATATTGCAAGTACTACAGCCCGCTAACACCTCCCAGTCGAACACGGCATACCGTCCGCCGCCCAACCCGAGCGGCCTCATCGCCGACCCGACCTCAGCACCTTCTTCAGCACGCTCGAACAGATAGACACCTCCGGCGACCGACATCCGCACAATGAGCACTCTCTACCTATGCCGCGCGACGTCAGCGCCGCCTTTAGAAATCTGGCGAATGCATTCGA